TCAGGACGGCGTGGCAGTAGCTCTGGCTGCTAGCAGAGGGGAGCTCTTCAAATGATGCGATAGCATCAGATTTGGGACACACACATCACTCGAGTACACTATGCGGTTGTGGGACTTTTCAAAACTGCTCTGAGCTGAGATTGATGGCTGACAGATTCTGCGGCAATTTTCCAGACTTGTCATAATGAGCTTTCCAGTTATTGGGCAAGGCATGGCTTACGTGTACACATCGATGTGCATTGGTACAGTTCCAAGACAATTTAGCCAGACTGTTGAGTCTACTCAACAAAAGAAATCATGCAACTGGTAGTATATGAACCATGATCAGTTCAAGACATTTCAGCCAGGCAGCACATGGGGCTGTTTCTGCCCAGATGCCCATGCACGAGGTATGGTAGGTAGTACATTCATCCTGTTATTTCAGCACATCCCACTAGCCACACCATCTTGGTAAACTCATGCCCACTAGCCACCCACTTCTGAGGTGTTTCATATCATACTCATGCCTTGTCCCCCTCATCATCGGAATCATCCCCTCTCTCCCTGAACCTTGGGTTCTTCTGCACACCACCACCACCACGAGACAATCGGATACACAGCCAGTCGTAATTGATTCGATACTGAGTGAAGGGAAAGGAAGGTGCAAGTGTGACGGCATAGGCATAGGAGCATTGCACCTGTGCGCAAGGAGGCTCCTAAAAAACGGATTAGAATAGAATGGATTAGGAGACACACAAAGAGACAGGCTTGATACTGGTAGGGAGAGACCCCCTTGGGCCAAACAGCACACACAGCCACACATGGTGGTGAAGGAAAAAAAAGAAAGGAAAAGAGGTCATACGCACCATTTGATCATCAGCAGCCCCTTCTGCCCCACCTTCTCCTCCCCCTCCTCCCTTTCCTCCTTCCCCTCCTGCCCCTCCCTCCCTGCCACCTCTCCCCTCCCCTCCCTCCCCTCTTCTCTCCTCATACCGCGCCCGCCCACCCCCGTCCCTGCCCCCTCCTCGCCTCTCCCCTCCCTCCTCCCTGCCCTCCCGTCCCTCCCTCCCCGCCTCTTGCATCGCCTCGTCGTCGTCTCTCCCTCTCTTGCGCATCCCACCGCCTCCTCCCCCACCTCCATCTGTGAGTATAGGCGAGGGGGGGGGGGGGAAGCGGCTTTGTGTATCTGCCTCTGTTGGTGTCTGTTGGTGTTCTCAAGATGCTTTTTCCATCACAATTATCACATATCATACAGACATCCTTACAGTGATTTAAATTGAACTGCTTACCCCTGTAGCCGCCCCGCTGCCTGTCATCCCTTGAGTAGCGCTGGGCCCTCCCTGAGAGGGACAGGCAGACAAAATTGATGGATGGAATGAGATGGAATGAGATGGATGGAATGAGATGGAGTGAGATGGATGGAATGAGATGGAGTGAGATGGATGGAATGAGATGGAGTGAGATGGATGGAATGAGATGGAGTGAGATGGATGGAATGAGATGGAGTGAGATGGATGGAATGAGATGGAGTGAGATGGATGGAATGAGATGGAGTGAGAGAGATGGAATGAGATTGAGTAAGATGGAGTAAGATGGAATGAGAGCGAGAAATAACGAGTGACGGCAGAGAGGGGGGGAGAGGAAACATAAAAAAACGGAGAGGAGACATGCAGAGTGGGGTTATGGAGGAATAACATGGGGCGGGCAGAGGGGAGGGGAGGGGTAACAGGAGAGGGGGATGACAATTCGCCGAGCCATGCGACGGCTCATATGCTTTTGGGGCACAGAGGGCGAGTGGCCAAAAGAGGGGGGACTGCCCAACCATTAGGACAAGCTCGGTGGTGGGAGACAGCGAGACCATTGAGCAAAACACGCAAGTCAAAACAAGTCAAACCAGGTCAACGCCACTCACTGGGTCCCTGCTGGTTGCCCAGTCGCTGCTGCATGCGGTGGCTCATGGGTTGGCGCGGCACCGAGGGCGAGTGGCCAAAGGAGGATGGGAGACCGCCTCGCATAGGCATGCCTATGCTTATGCACGGTGGCTTGCAAGTGCCCCGGGTTACTCACTTGGTCCTTGCTGGTTGCCCAATCGCTGCTGCATGCGGTGGCTTATGGGCTGTCGCGGCACAGAGGGCGAGTGGCCAAAGGAGGGCGGCATGCCTCCCCTCTAGGGGCATGTATGAAATTGTGTGTCTGAGCATCTGTCAGTGTAAGGTATTTCAAGAACTCACTTGGTCCCTGCTGGTTGCCGAGGCGCTGCTGCATGCGGCGGCTCATGGGTTGGCGCGGCACCGAGGGCGAGTGGCCAAAGGAGGATGGGAGACCGCCTCGCATAGGCATGCCTATGCTTATGCACGGTGGCTTGCAAGTGCCCCGGGTTACTCACTTGGTCCTTGCTGGTTGCCCAATCGCTGCTGCATGCGGTGGCTTATGGGCTGTCGCGGCACAGAGGGCGAGTGGCCAAAGGAGGGCGGCATGCCTCCCCTCTAGGGGCATGTATGAAATTGTGTGTCTGAGCATCTGTCAGTGTAAGGTATTTCAAGAACTCACTTGGTCCCTGCTGGTTGCCGAGGCGCTGCTGCATGCGGCGGCTCATGGGTTGGCGCGGCACCGAGGGCGAGTGGCCAAAGGAGGGCGGCATGCCTCCCGGACTGCCCCCCTCTCCCGGCATGAAGAGCGGCGCCCCGTACTGCTGAATGGCTGCTATCTCCTTCTGCACTAGCTTGCCGTACCCGCCTCGCCGTGTAGTAAAGAGAGAAAAGAGGGAGAAGAGAGGGAAAGGGAGGGGAGAAGCACAGGGGAACAACAATGGGCACGCACAGAAGGGACTTCCCCCACACAGCACAGACTGGACTGCCCTCCCCCCTCTCCCGGCATGAAGAGTGGCGCCCCGTACTGCTGAATGGCTGCTATCTCCTTCTGTACTAGCTTGCCATACCCTCCTCGCCGTGCAGGGAGGAAGAGGAGGGCGAAAGGGGGAAGAGAGCACGAAGGGAGGCAGGGAGGGGGTAGTGGAGTAACTTTGGGCATGCACAGCACAGGAAGGGCTTGGCTTTGGCCCCCCTCCAGGCATGAAGAGCGGTGCTCCGTACTGCTGAAAGGCTGCTATCTCCTTCTGTACTAGCTTGGCATAACCAAGTGCACATAAAGCTAGTAACAGGGCGAAAAAGGCACATATCTGGGTCATAATCGGTTCGGTATTCGTCCCTGACTTGCCCTCCGCTACGTCCCCGCCCCCCCTTTTTACAGGCATAACACGCAGACAAAGCTAGTGAAAGGGCGAGAGAGGCACATATCTGGGTCATAGTCTGTTCTGTATTCGTCCCTGACTTGCCCTCCGCTCCTCCCCCGCCCCCACTGCCGCCCGTCCTCGTAGCCCCAGTCAAAGTCCACTCTGATTGGCCGGTCGTCCAGGATCGTGCTGCTCACGTACTTCACCGCGTCCTCCGCGTCCTCCCTCACATAGTACCTGCACCAGAAAACGACAAAAGAGAGGGGGGTTTGCAGGGGCAGAGGGAGGAGGAAAGGAAAAGTTCAATGGGGGGAAGGGGAGACAGGGAGGGAGAAAAAGGGGGGTAATGCGGGAGAGAGGAGGGGAGGAAGAGGGGTACTTGGGGGGGGAAAGAGAAAAATGGGGGAGGAGGGAAGAAAAGGATCAGAAATAACTCAACTTTCATGGCGTCTCTAACAAGGAGAGTTACTCACATAACGAAGCAGAATCCGCAGGGCGTCATTGTATTCTTATCGAGTCCCATTACAATGCGTCGGATCTCGCCCGCCTTGGAAAACACCTCGTAGATCTGCTCCTCCGTGGTGTAAAACGACAAGTTACCCACGTAAACCGTGGTAGACACCCTCAGCGCCTGCTCGAACTCCTCCTGCGTGCCGCGGAACCGACGGTCGCGATACGCCGAGATCTGCTCTTTCTGTTTGGGGCATCAGCGCACAGGGAAGCGATGAGAGAAACACGCAATGGAACAGGGGTACGGTGATGTAGCAGGAAGCAGGGGCGGACGGAGTTTTGCCCCCCTTTTTCGAGCCGACGGAAGGGTGGGATCGCGGGCACGAAAGGGTTGCTAGGGGAACGAAGAATGGTTGAAAGGGTGCGATCGAGCAGCAACCGGCGGGTCTGGAAGCAGCGCAAATGGCGGCATCCATTAGGTTATGACGTTGGAAGTTCGGTGACTCCTTCTCAGCAGCACGTTGACATCCAGACGCGATAACGCCATCAATAGGCTGTCAGCAAGTCAGTCAACATCCCCTCTTACGATAAATACTCGGAAAGCCCAATTTCTATGGAAATACCTTGAATAACCGCGACATGGCGGCAACTGAATCGGTTCCTCCCTCGCACCACTCTTGTAACACGGCTTTGAGCGGGGGTGGTGGCGGTTCCGCTGATCAAGTTGCTTTCACCAAGCTTCTCAGAAAAGGTACTATCAAGGGACGTCCTAGGAGTTGGTTTCCAGCAGGGGTGTATGAGAGGGGAGTTGCGAAACCGCTTCTCATCGCACAAAAACGTTCTCAACTGAGATGCTGTGGTGCTGAAAGCACTGAAACGTGATTTGAGAACAGGGGAGGGGTTGGAGAGGGTGGGGAGGGATGAACAAACAAATCGGGTTTCAACGAAGCTGGATACAGAATGCTGACGAAACCTTTTGACGATTTAGATATCCCAGAGCAGTGCCAATGCGAAAGAAAGTTGTGAGGAAACGAAGATTCGTATGTTTTCGCCCCCTGACAAATGATTCGCCAGGCTTCAAGCAAAGCTGAGATGTTACCCCTCAACGGGTCGCTGGGATTGGTCTCTAGAATCTAGATTATTATTCCTGATCTAGAGATTATCTCTGATCAGTTCACTCCGTGTAGCGTCGTTATTACCGCTAGAAACGCGATCCACGACACAAGCAGACGTGTCAGTGTCAGGCGATTTCTGGCTCTTTGACTAACATAAGCCAGACGTCGCAATGCAGAATCAAGAATTAAGACTTATGTCTCACTCCTGACTGGTCTTTCCAGCCATGGATGCGCCTAGACATTCCACCAGTCCCACAGGACCTCGTGCTCACTTGTTTGCGATAACAACCTAGAGCGGCGCGTCTATCGACGACGAGAGATCTTAGCCGCGACATTCGCTGATAGTGCGTTTTCTTTTCGTAACTTGCGGATAGATTTCAGATTATTCAGCCTTGCAAATTGATTTCAGATTTTTCAGGCGAAATGTCGCTGTTTGGAGGGTTCAAGCCTTCCACTCCGGCCACCGCGGGGACCCAAACTTCCGCTTTAAGCACACCCGCAACAAGCACTCCGTCAACCCTACAACAGCAACAGCAGCAGCAGCAACAGCAGCAGCAACAACAACAGCAACAGCAGCAGCAACAACAGCAGCAACAACAGTTAACCCTAGCGATTCAGCAGGGCCAAGCCCATCTGCTGACGAATAACGATCCCAGTAGAGGGGGTCCGCAACCGGCGGGATTTGATACCAAGTTCAGCGAGCTACACCCGGACAGCCAGAAGATACTAACGCATATAGAGTGAGTGTATTCCGGAGTGACTATAGCGAGCCTGACCATTTCCTGACCTAATTCCGCTTCCCCCTGCTCTAGTAGCAAGATGCGTGGCTTCGGCGCGCCAAATGATCGAGAAGCCAGGTATTGGAGTGAGGTTACCGTTTTATTAGTCCTTTTACATATAATTCCTACTTTCAATGGGTTCTAAGTCACTCACTACAACAAACCCAGGACAAGCCGGTTCAGGAGCAGGATATTGGAGCTGCGAGCGGAGAGCCAGGTGCAAAGTGTTGTATAAGTTTTCGTACATTTATTTTCTACACAAATCATAATCTCCCTGCCGTCAGGAGCAAGATATTGGAGCTGCGAGCGGAGAGCCAGAGGTTGGGGCAATCGAGTCGGCTGCATGATGGCTCGCAATTGGCCGACAACCCGTTTGAGCGGCAGGCAGCTAGAGTCAGCCAGGTGAGCAGCGGTTCTGTGCGGTTGACTTGTGTTTCTGCATAAGGGTACATTCCGGGCTCTGGTCAAACCTCTGGTTATCCGTGCCTGCGTCCCTAACTCATACCTATTTCTCCCGAATTGTGCTAATTGTGAGGTTGGCTACAGTATTAACCAGAGCCCAGAATGTAAGTGGCTGAGAGATGGCTCACAGTTGGTGGATAATGCGTTTAGGCAGCAGGGAGCTAGAGTCAGCCAGGTGGGCAGCGGTTGTGTGCAGTGACGTGTGTGACTCGCTGATAGCCCACTGCGTATTCTCCCTTTCTCCTCCTCCCTTCTCCCTCCCTCCCTTTCTTTTTCTCTCCTCCTTTCCAGAGCCTCTCGCACGTGGCATCAAGGGTGGACACAGAGCGAGCGTCCCTGCATCACATGCTGCACACAGCGCAGCACCTGCTGCACCACAGCGACCTGGCAGTCCGCTCCTTCTCCCTCCTCCGCTCGCGCTTCCCCCACCTCCCTGGAGCAGACTCGCTGGCACCAGGTGAGTCGTCAGCCTTGAGCTGATGCCCCCACCGATGCCCCCACCTCTTTGGAACAGCGCAGCACCTGCTGCACCACAGCGACCTGGCAGTGCGCTCCTTCTCGCTCCTCCGCTCACGCTTCCCCCACCTCCCTGGGGCCGACCCCCTGGCACCAGGTGAGTCTAGTCTTCGTCAAACTCCTGCTGTAACCTGATTTGACATTGACTTACACACTAATTCGCCGCTTCTGCTGGGCTGACCCAGCTGCACCAATTCCAGCGTCAGACTCCGGCTGTGTAGTGGTTCAATCTGAAAAGGTGATGGGTATCCCCCCACCTTCTCCTCCCTATCCTCCCTTTTCCCCTTGCCATGAGCCCCAGGCCAAGAAGACATCTTCCAGCGCGTCCCCTGCCATTAGAACCATCGCAAAAGTCTATCTGACCTTTCCCCTGCCCGCCTTCCCTCTCCCCTTCCCCCCCCCCTCCTCTCCCCCTCCCCCCTGCCATGGGCCCCACCTCAGGCCAATCAGACATCTACCGAGGAACCCCCTGCCTGCCATCTCCCTTTCTCATCGACACAGTCACACGTTTTGAAGTCAAAATAACAGAGTACCGCCACAAGCTCTCCGAGCTCCCCATTCTTCCTCCCGTGACCCCCAGGCCAAGCAGACATCTACCGGGGGGTGCCCTGCCTGCCGTCGCCTTTCCTCATCAACACGGTCGCTCGCTTCGAAGTCAAAGTTACTGAGTACCGCCACAAGCTCATCCAACTCCCCCGCTCCCCCTCCCCCAACCCCCCTGCCAACAAACAGGCCAAGCGGGCATCTACCGGGGAGCCCCCTGCCTGCCATCACCCTTTCTCATCGACACAGTCGCACTTTTCGAGGTCAAAGTAACAGAGTACCGCCACAAGCTCACCGAGCTTCAAGCAGCCATCGAACCAGCCCTGGCAGACTCCAGGTTCGGCGGCAGCTACTCCCGAGCCGCATCAGCAGCTTCGGCGGCAGCAGCGGTCGAGGCGCTCCCCGTGATTATAAAGAACCTGCATGAGTTTTTCATTCACGTGGCAGCCCAGGTGGAGAGGGTGCATGAGAGGGTGGACGCAGCAAGGAATGCGTTTCTGGCGGAGAGGAGGAGGAGGGGAGACAGGAGCAACCCGTTTGCAGAGGCAGACAGGATTGAGGCTGCTGCTGCTGCCAGTAAGAAACCGTCTCTGCTTGGCTCGGCTGCTGGCATTGGTACTGGTGCCGCCGGTGCTGCCGGTGCTGCTGGTGCCACTGGTGCCGCTGGTGCTGCTGGTACAGGCAGTGGGATCCTTACCTCTCCACTCTCCCTCCTCCCCGGCACCACCACTCCCGGCACCACCTCCCCATTCCTCTCAAACCCCACCGGGGGGCTCTTCCCTTCCTCCACTGCCACCACACCATCACTCTTCGGCACCACCACCACCGCCACCACCCCCGGCCTCTCCCTCTTCGGCACTCCAGCCTCTGCCACAGCAGCAGGCAGCTCCCCGGGCACCTCCCTCTTTGGCACCACCACCCCGTCTCTCTTCGGCAGTGCCACTCCTGGTGCCGCTGCTGCTGCTGCTGCGTCCTCTCCCGGTCTTTCCTTCGGCAACCCTGCCACGCCTGCCACGGGAACCACGTCTCTCTTCGGCACTCCAAACCCAGCAGCAGCAGGCTCGTCCCCAGGCTCTTCTCTCTTCGGCTCCACCTCTGCTTTCGGTGGCGGTGCGTCGGCCTTTGGAGCAACCCCAGCAGCAGGAGCAGCAGCAAGCACGCCGTCGCTCTTTGGGTCCCCGGCTGGTCCCACAACTGGGGGTCTTTTCGGAGCGACACCAGCAGCGGCGACTCCTTTTGGTGCTCCCGCTGCTTCCCCGTTCGGTGCTGCTGGTGCCGCCTCGCCGTCGCCGTTTGGAGCAACGGCGTCGGCTCCTGGCACGTCGTTGTTTGGTATGTACCGCAGTGGGATCTGGTAACTTGTTTGGTATGTTCCATGAATTCTCGATATACAGATTCATCCTGACAACCCCCCTCCTCGATTTCTGCTGGGGATGCGGCAGCGGGATCTGGTGGCTTGTTTGGATGTAACAGCCGGTATTTTGTGATTGTTGCTGTTTTCCAAGGGTAGATGTTTTTGCCTGTTGGTGTATGCATATCATTTTTGAGAGTTTGCTTGTCAAATGTTTTGATTCGTCTGTGTGGGTTTTTTTTTTGTCAACAGGTGCTCCTGCCACTCCAACACTTCAGCCAGCTGCCCCGATGCCGTTTGGTTTTGGCAACACAACTCAGGCGGTGAGCTCATACTCAGTGTTTCTTTCTTATATTTTTTTGCTTCCTGTGTTCTTTCTTTTCCGTTTCTCCATTCCACATGTCGTTGTGCACAGTAAGTGATTGCGGATGTGTTATTAATAATGTTTGTCCGGATTTTCTTCCCCTTGCAGACTACTACTCGTTCAAAGTCGCGGGGCTCATCCAGAAGACGCTAAGAGGACACTAAGGTTTCTAGACATAAGACAGCCTACACCTGCTATTGCGCTGTAGAAGGGATGCAATTCAACTTTTTTGCTTTCATGTCTTGGATGCCCAATTACGGGGGAGTGACTGGCGAAACAACGGCTGGTTCGCTTTGCCACGAAGGCTTTCGCACGTGTTTTATGCGGGCAAGAGCTCCCCATCAGCGCCCTGATGTCGGGTGGATGAGCTAAAAGCGCGAATGTGTGACGTGGTGTGAAACAAATACAGGCCCTTGTCGTGTGACTGGTCGCCACGACAAATTACGATGCGTACAGTAAAATACAGGGTGGTTGCCTGTTTTTTCCAGGGTCAACTCGAAACCCGCTCGTTGGTATTTTTCTGTCCAATCAAAATCGTTCAAACACAACCGCCTCGTGCATCTGCGCCAACCCAATTTCTAAGTTCCTTGTCAACGACCTGTGTGGTATCTGCCTCGCCGGAGGCACAGGAGGCAGACGGGGTCGGGGACAACCAATGGAGGGCCCACGCCAGGATTCGTCCTGGCGGCGCGGTACCTCCAGTGGTACATGCCTCGGCACCAGAGCCGACTGTGGGGGTTACGTATTACCTTCCCCTCTGAAGCCAACGCCCATCAGGGTACGGCTGTCCCCGAAACGGGGCACGCGCATGTTGGGGGGATCGATGGGGGTCTTAGCCGATAACGGCACAGCCGGTACAACACTGCTTACCGAAGCGCCTATCCTCCACGGGGGGTAGGTTTCCTCCGGGGATCTCCTTAAAAGCCCAAAAAAAAAAAAAAAAAAATGTGTGGTATCTGCCCTGCTTCTCCCCGTTTCATCCATATCCCCAAACCTAGTGCACATTCACCCCTCACTACAGTGACGCAGTGACGCAGTAAACCACATCACATCACAGCGCCAAGCCAAGTACACCATCTGAAACACGCAACCAAAAAGAAAACAGCGAAACCATATGCTAACATATCATACCACACCAAGCACCGCACCGAACCACACTGTTGAGAGCAAACTCACCTAGTTCATTGAGGCAGTTACAGTTTTCTTCTTTCCGTTTACGTCACTTCTCCGTCAGGCAACCCTAAATTCCGCCGTACGCCGCGCTTTCCAAGCGTAGGAGATTCATGCTCCTCCTGCGCTTGCCGTTGGCCTCGTGCTATGCACTTCAGTTTTTAGGAACGCTGCCTGCCCTTCGTACATACGTAATACTCTCGCTTCCTGTGCTATGACGAGCTTGCTTAGCACCGGGATTTGCGGTCCGCCAAGAGTGCATGGCAGACAAGCTCCAGATCTTTTCTCCGATCTTCACAAACGGCTAACCTGCGCGAGAGCGACGCGACCTTTTCCTCGATGCGCCTCGATCCGCGGAGCCCTTAGAATCCGCTGCAGCGCCGATAGAAGCGGCGACGCCGCCACGCCAGATGACTCCCCCGAGTCTGTTCCCGCGTCGTGCGGTTCGTTCTCCGCAGCTTCCGCGAATATTCCCGCTTCTCGGGTCATCCTGGTGCAATCGAGCTCCGTAGGAAACGCCAGCGCATCGGACGGGGAAGCTTCCTCGGGAGCTTCGAATCCCGAAGCTGGCAGCTTACGTCAACAGCAGCAGGACCCGAAACAACCTAACCCGCAGCAGCAGAAGCAACAGCAGCAGCAGCAGCTTTCACAAGTTCAGGGAGGGAATCTTAGTCCAGGCGGGACGAAAAACGACAAAGCAACGTCCGACGGAAGGAAAGCGCAAGGCACGCCATCAAAATCAAACGGCGCGGGGAAGGACGGCAGGCGAGGGTCGCAGCGGCCGGCACGGCGCGGCAGTGACGACAGCTCCCCATGGTGGCGGAAACTGATCTTAGGGATCCTCCCAGATTTGAAGCTTCTCACGTTTCTGGTGACGAATCTCGTGGTTCTGATGCTCTCTGCTCGGATTCTTAGCTCACACCCTCTCGTCGTGAAACGCGCTGCGCGCCGGTTTGGGTTACTACCGAAGACCGTCGTTGTAACCCTGGAAAAGTGGGGGTTACCGGCGAATACCCTGGTGTCTGACGAGGCGGCGTCTGCGGGTTCTGATGCTGGCGGTGCGGGTTTAGATGCGAAGGAGCGGCAGCAGCGGCAGCAGCTGCAGAAGCAGCAGCAAGAGCAGCAGGAGACAACTCGAATTTCCTTTTCCATCACGGTCCCGTTTTCGGAGTTTCTTTACCACGTGAAGAAGAACAATATCGTGTCGATTACTGTAGACGGCGACAAGGTGTCGTTCGTCCTGCGACGCCCTGAGTTCGCACGGGGCCACAAGGCGACGGAGTTACAACCCATGATTCGCCAGGTGGAAAAAATCGCAGAGCGCAAGTGGAAGGAGGCGGGGGAAGCTTCCGGGAAAAAGGTGGGGAAGATGCGACCTGTCCAGGTGCAGCTGTCTACGGTGAAGCCTGCTGACGTGGCGGTCCCGTACGCGGAGCTGATGTCACGCCACGTGGAGTTTGGTGCTCCGGATAAGGCGTCATTTAAACTCGTGAATACGATCTCGGTGAGCAGTAATGGGAAGAGGGGAAGACGGAAGACGGGAAGGGGGGAAGACAAGTGAGGATATGGGAGTGAGGGGAGAGGGGGAGACGGGGGGAAGACAAGTGAGGATATGGAGGTGAGTGGAGAGGGGGAGGGGTGGGGAAGTCTAGTGAGGATACGGGAGTGAGGGGAGGGGGGGGGGGCGGGCCGGGTTCTTTAGATAAGGCGTTTTTCTCGTACAGCTGCTGTCCACTATTCAGTATTACAATCGTCCCACTCCATCCCCTGCGTGCCTTTCCTCCAAAACGCCCTCGCATCTGCGGCTCTGCGTGTTTCTTGTTGCCAGTCCACACTCCTGTATGCGGGAATAGCGGCGGTCGTGCTGTCGCGCCTGCAGATGAAGCTCCCGCAGGTTAGTGAGGGGATTCGCGTACGGTGCTATTGGCAGGTGATGTGGTATGCATGGGTCCGCTTGATGCACGCCACTCCACTGTGCAGCTGGCTTTTTTAAGTGCATCAATGCCATCTTGTTTGCTTTTACCACCCATCACCCATCGACGGAACATCCAAACTCCGCCCATCCATCTATTCACATGGAATGGCATTCAAACTATGTCCGTCCATCCTTCCACGTGGCATGCCATTCAACCCCTGTCCATCTTTGTTTCGTCCACGTGGCATGTGCGAAGTTTGGGGGCAAGGCGCGCAGTCAGAAGGGAAAGGCGCCGCCAGTGCTGTTTGCTGACGTGGCAGGGGTGGATGAGGCGAAAGAGGAGTTGGAGGAGATCGTGGTGAGTGTGGGGCGCGTGTGGGGGAAGGGAGGGGAGGGGGAGGGGAGAGAGGGGGGCTATGGGCAATAGAGGGATGGGGAGAATAAGGTGGGGGGTTGGGGGGGGGAGGAGGAAGGAGGGTTTGTAAGCGGAAAATGCGGGCGCCGTTGCATGTCAAAGCCGTTACCTCTTTGCACTTTGCCCATACTGCTTCCCTTTTCCTTTTCCATTCCCCGCCTCTTCCCCTCCCCTCCTCTTCCCCATCTTCCCCTCTTCTCCCTTTCCCCCACTAGTTTTCCCCCGGTGGACGCATGGCAAAGCTTTACCAGTAAATCTGATTTCTAATTGATTTCTCCTTCATCTTTCTTCTTATCCTCCTCGCCTCGTCACTCAATAGTTGCCTCTGCACGGCGAACCTTCACTGGTAAACTCACTGATAAAGCTCACCTCGCCTCTCTCCTCCTTGCCTCGCCACCCCAGGAGTACCTCCGCACGCTTGAACGTTCCACTCGACTGGGAGATTTTTGAGTTGACTCAAAAGTCACTAAGTACCTCACTCCCCCTCCTCACTCCCCCTCTTCGCCTCGCCACTCCAGGAGTACCTCCGCACGCCCGAACGTTTCTCTCGACTGGGAGCGCGACCGCCCAGAGGAGTGCTGCTGGTGAGTGCGAGTGCTGCCTGCTGGGTGATTGTTACCCGCCTTCAGGTGCTTTGAAGGCGTGGTTTCAAAGGTGATGTTTATTGCTGTGGCTGCTTAAAAGATCAAGATAAGTTATTGACCAAACGAATGACGTTTTTGTTTCCTCTACCAAAGCTCCTATTGCCTTCTCCTCGTGTGTGCCGAGCCTGCTTCTCAGGTTGGGCCGCCAGGCACGGGGAAGACGATGCTGGCCAAGGCAGTGGCAGGGGAGGCGGACGTTCCCTTTATAAGCTGCAGCGGTAGCGAGTTTGTGGAGCTGTATGTGGGCCTGGGGGCGTCGCGAGTGAGAGAGCTGTTCGCGCAGGCAAAGAAGGACTCGCCCTCCATTGTCTTTATTGATGAGGTGAGCTTATAACGGGTCTGCTTGTAATGGGTTCTCTTATATTGATAGTGACTGGGCCGGAGGACTTCTAAGTTGGCTTAAAAGCTGTTCGCCCAGGCAAAGGAGAATTCGCCCTCCATTGTGTTTACTGATGAGGTGAGCTCATTGCAGGATGCCTATGTGAGCAGGTTAACGCTCGAGACGACATGTCTTGGGAGTTGACTAGAGATCTATTTACCCAAGCAATGAAAGGCCCCCCCTCTATCTTGTTCAATTGTTAACTCGTAGAGTTTTGAGGCGCCTCAAAACTAGACTTATTTACTCGTAGAGGGCTGAGCTGTGCACTGGTTCGCCCAGGAAGGGTGCTGTTGTTTAAGGAGGTGGGCTCCTTGGGCTGATTCGTAATCTACGTGTAATGAGGGTGTGTTTGAGACATCTCAAAAACACCCTCATTACAAGGGTGCTGTTGTTTAAGGAGGTGGGCTCCTTGGGCTGATTCGTAATCTTCGCCTCCTGTCCTTGCCTTCTGTTTCTCCTCTCTCGGCAGATCGATGCAGTGGCCAAGGTGCGGGATGGGCGCATGCGCAGTGTGGGGAACGACGAGAGGGAGCAGACCCTGAACCAGCTGCTCACGGTGAGTGAGTGAGTGAGTGGGTGGGTGGGTGGGTAGGTCTGTGAGAGTTGTTTTGAGACGTCACCCAACAGGCAGACGTCATCGACCCCGCCCTCCCTGTGCCTGTGACACCCTTGCATGCTCACTTTGCCTTTCTGCGTCTGTGCATCCTCATGTGTTGTTTTCCCCTCAGGGAGATGGATGGGTTTGACAGCAGCACAGCAGCCTGATAGTGCTCGCAGCCACCAACAGAGCGGACGTCATAGACCCCGCCCTGCGCCTGCCCCGCCCTTGCATCCTCACTGCGCCTTCCTGCATCCCTCGCATTGCATCCTTCATTACAGGAGACGTCATAGACAGGACGCATTGCATCCTGGATTCGACAGCAGCACGGCGGTCATCGTCCTCGCAGCCACCAACAGAGCGGATCTCATCGACCCTGCCCTGCGCCTGCCTTTCATCCTTGCCTTGCCCTCCTGCACCCTTGCATCTTACCCCACAGGAGATGGACGGATTCGACAGCAGCACGGCAGTGATCGTGCTCGCAGCCACCAACAGAGCGGACGTCATCGACCCTGCGCTGCGCCGCCCGGGGCGATTTGACCGGATCGTAGCGGTGAGGACCGGTGGAGGGCGGTGTTGTGTGTTTGTGGATGGGGACACTTAGGTAACATTATGGAGCGGAGGGAGTTGTGTACTGTACTGTGTGTTTGTGTTCATGGGGATAAGATAGTTTTATTCATGGTAGCATGGATTGTAAGCTGCTTGTTTAATGATGCCATTGAACCGGCTTTTTTTTTGCTGACAATCTCTCGTGCACATGCGCTCCCACAGGTGGAGCCTCCGGATCGCAAGGGGCGGGAGGCCATTCTTACCGTGCACGTGGAGCAGAAAGAGCTGCCTCTGAGCAGCGATGTCGATATTCAAGAGATCGCTGTTGCCACAAGCGGGTTTACAGGGTATGTGCAAGGGTTGGGAGGGGTTGAAATCGGTTGAGATGTGGAGCAGGAGGAGCTCCCAGATAGGCTGAGGTGGGTTGAGATGGGTTGAGATGGTTTGGCTGCATGTGGAGCAGAAGGAGCTGCCTCTGAGCAGCGATGTGGACATTCAAGAGATTTCATGCGCGTGCGTGTGCGTCCCTGCGTGTGTGGGTGCGTGTGTGTTGAGATGGAAGAAGGTGAATTCTATGGTTGAGATGGAAGAAGGTGAATTCTATGGTTGAGATGGAAGAAGGTGAATTCTATGGTTGAGATGGAAGAAGGTGAATTCTATGGTTGAGATGGAAGAAGGTGAATTCTATGGTTGAGATGGAAGAAGGTGAATTCTATGGTTGAGATGGAAGAAGGTGAATTCTATGGTTGAGATGGAAGAAGGTGAATTCTATGGTTGAGATGGAAGAAGGTGATTTCTATGGTTGAGATGGAAGAAGGTGAATTCTATGGTTGAGATGGAAGAAGGTGAATTCTATGGTTGAGATGGAAGAAGGTGAATTCTATGGTTGAGATGGAAGAAGGTGAATTCTATGGTTGAGATGGAAGAAGGTGAATTCTATGGTTGAGATGGAAGAAGGTGAATTCTATGGTTGAGATGGAAGAAGGTGAATTCTATGGTTGAGATGGAAGAAGGTGAATTCTATGGTTGAGATGGGCTGGGCTGATCCGGTTCTCGCACTTTGTCCCATCGCAAATTTGGTGAAAGGGGCAGCGATTACAGCCCCATTGCCATTAGGCGATCATTTTGAGAATTCTCAAAAGTGTGAGAATTCTCAAAAGTGATTTCAACATCTGCTTATCTTGCTGCCCCACTGCCATGCTGCAACCCGATGCATCCTGCCTCCTTGCCTTCCCTCCATTGCAGAGCTAATTTGGCGAATCTGGTGCACGAAGCAGTGCTGCCGGCAGCAAGGAGGGACCACGAGGAGGTCTGCTAGTCATTAGTCCCTCACTGTCATGCTGTACCCTTACCTTGCTTCCTCATCTCCCCCATCCCCTCCTCCTCTCATTCCAGGGCTGATCTTGCCAATCTGGTGAACGAGGCGGCACTGTTGGCAGCAAGGAGGGATCACGAGGAGGTCACAAGGCAGGACTTCGACAGCGCTGTTGAACGGGCTCTTGCGGTGAGTTTGGCTGAACCAAGAATGTGAGTAAAAAAGAGTGATTGAGATGTGAATTGTGTCAGAGTGACCATTAGGGTCCAACACAAGGCAGGGCTTTGACGATTTTTGAGGCGCCTCAAAAATCGTGTCAGTAGTGAGTGACCATTAGGGGATCCAACACAAGGCAGGGCTTTGACTGTAGCCCTGTTGAGCGGGTACTTGCTGTGAGTGCGGCCCTTGCTGTGATGTGCTCATATATTGCGACTTCATATTGTGGATCTGATGTCGTTTTTCTCTGATAAATGTTCGTGTATGTGCTTTTGTTTTCTTTCTCACAGGGAATTGAGAAGAAAAGGTCGGCTCTCGGCCGGGCAGAAAAGGCCGTGGTAGCCCGGCACGAAGCAGGCCATGCGCTGCTTGGGGCAGCCATTGCAAAAGTTTTACCCGACCAGCGGGTAGTCCAAAAAATCTCCATCGTACCCCGGTCAGGCGGCGCGCTGGGATTCGCCTACATGCCGCCCCCAGCAGATGGTGAGGAGCGTCTTCTAGTGTTTGTGGACGAGCTCCGGGGCCAGCTCGCCGTCCTTCTCGGGGGCCGGGCAGCTGAAGATGTCTGTTTTGGCGGGAGAATCTCCACAGGAGCAGTGGATGATATTCGCCGTGCTACAGACATGGCGTATAAAGCTGTAGCGGAATACGGGCTGAGTGGGACCATAGGGCCGATGTCAGTGGGGACCCTGGCGGGAGGAGGGTTGGATGGAGGGGGAGGGTTTGGGTGGGGAGGGAAGGATCAGGGGAGGCTGTCGGATCAGGTGCAGGATGAGGTGCAACAGCTGCTGCAGGAGGCTCTAGAGGTGGCACGGGCTGTGCTGGTGTGCAACAGAGGGCTTCTTGAAGACCTCGGAAGGACACTTCAAGGTGAGATTGCCTGGTGCCTGCTGCATCAAAGTTCATCTAGACCTGTTTCTTTGTACTGTTTTCCCTCAAATGTCGTCGTCTTCCATTTTCCGTGACATTTCCCGAGACCATTCATCCTTTCTACATATTTGTACGTACGTATTCTTCCACATCTGTATGCGTTGCACCAGAAAATGAGACGGTGGAGGGAGCAGCTCTGGGCGCTTGGCTGGCGCAAGTAGAGGTGCCGCCGCTGCTTAGAACTTTCGTGTACGGGCGGGCAGTAGAGTTGCCTCTGCTCCCAGCCGAGAGCAGTGAAGAGGATGTGTGATTTCTTTCAGCTATACATTGGTGGGGCTGTTTGCCCCTTCCACCCATTTCATACCGAGCTTGACACGCTATGCATCATAGGAGTGTACAGTGGGGTCGTTTCAGTTTGTTATTGTATTCTCTAATGGCGTGTATATATTGTTCTTGGAAAATACGCCAATTTTACTAGTGGTATGGCATCTCTTGTGGATGCTTCTAAAATCATATCTTGTGAGTGGAATTTCCTAATTTGCATGTCATGCTCGTGTACATCAAGTGAACAAGGGAACTGTGCAAGCACGTATCTCTCGACAATCTCGAGGCTCACACAAACTGGAATCTTTTCGTCTCACCGAATTACAGCCAGGGGCACCCAGCCGTTCGATCCCCGTCATTCCCACCGACGCGTCCCGCCCCGTTCGGTTCGGAGGAAGCCGTGAATGTCGGTCACCCTTCTCAACCGCTCGTATATGTTTGACTATGGCATTTTAAAGACAGCGCATCGTATTCCACCGCATATGATAGTCAGGCTTGCGTGCATCTGACATATTGCTCGAATACAAGATCCCACATTCCAGTTACTACCCTCAGATTAGGAGTAGCTCCAGGAGGGTTTGCAACGACCATTTCTCGATCTGAAGAGTTAGCATCGCGGGCAATTGAAGCCGTCACGATGTTGGACCATTTTTCGATCTTTACGCGCGGCGGGCTGGTCCTCTGGACGTTCCAGATGACGGCCATGAAAGGCTCGCCGATCGACGCGCTGATTCAAAACTGCCTGCTGCAGGAGCGGTCCGGCGAGAAGACGTTCCAGTACAACGCCAAGGACCAGTCGGCTTATACCTTGAAGTGGTCCTTCCATAACGAGTTAGGGTTGGTGTTCGTGGCGGTGTACCAGCGTATGCTGCAGTTGCTTTACGTGGATGATCTTCTAACGGCTGTTAGGGATGAATTTGCGGAAGGTCATTACGACCCGAAGAAAACGTCTTACCCGGATTTTGACAACGTTTTCAAACAGCTGCTTCTCGAATCTGAACAGCATGCGAACGAGTTGAAGCGGCCGAAGCAGGTTACCAATTTCGGCGAGACGAAAAAGGGCAAAGGCATGCAAAAGGCCGCGGGAGCGGGGAAAGGAAAAGGAACAGGGGCCAATCAGAGAAAAGGAGGCGCTGCGAAAGATGACGGAGACAGTGGGAGTGACGAAACCGGCGACGAGGACGGAGCGGGGAACAGCGAGGCAGAGCAGCCGGCTAGCCGTCCCAGCAGCAGCTCTGCCGTCTCCTCTGCCGGCGCATTTGACGTCTCGAAGCTTCGTAACCGCGCCAGCCGCAAGCAGGCTGCGGCGAAGAAAATCGGTAACGGGCTTTTCGATTTCCCGCTGAATCCCGCGAAAGGCGGCGGGAAGTCCGACGGAAAAGCCGACGGAAGCGCGTCGGAAAGCGAGTCGAAGAAGCCGAAGAAGCAGATGCGCAAGTGGGATAACGACGGGCCGGCTCTGGAGCGGCAGGACTTCTCGGAAGCTTCGGATCATGACACTGACGTGGAGGTTGTCGACGTGGCAAAGGTGGGGAAGAGCATGATGGACCGAGATGAAGAAGAGGAGGAGGATGCGGAGTGGGGTGGGGAGGATGAGGAGGAGTCGGAGGAGGAAGGGGGGAGGGAGCGGAAGGGGTCTCGCAGGCACGTGGGCCGCGGGGACGACGGCAGCGAGGGGAAGAAGACCGGCTGGCTCGCTTCGGTTTTCCAGAGGTACGAAGGAAGGGGGAAGGGGGGTAGCGGGAATAAAGGAGAAGAGGGAGGGGGAGGGATCAGAGGCACGTGAGTCACGGGGACGATGGCAGAGAGGGGAAGAAGACTGGCTGGCTTGCTTCGGTTTTCCAGAGGTACGAAGGGAGGAGGAAGGTGACGGTGAGGTACAGGGCTGACTGGGCTGTAGCATCCTTGTAGCTGGCAGCCACTGAGCCGTTCCCGCGTTCCGTACATTCGCATCACCTGACACACATCACCTGACACAACCCCCCGTTCTCTCCCTGTTCCCTCGCTGGAGCTGGCGGACATAGAGCCGCCATGCATTCCCTGCATGCTCATCACCACACACACCGCACCTCCCCCAACCCACCCCACCTCCCCCCCCCCCCCACTCTCCTGCCGCTTTTATCAGTGTGGTGGGCAAGGCCTCTCTGGAGCAGGCGGACATAGAGCCGTCGCTCAAGGTGCTCAAGGACCGCCTCATGAGCAAGAACGTGGTAAGCTGTTGCGCCCTTCCCTCCTCTGCTACTCCTCCTTTTTGTGTGTTTTGAGTTGGCTCAAGGCCTCTCTGGAGCTGGCGGACATAGAGCCGTCGCTCAAGGTGCTCAAGGATCGACTCATGAGCAAGAACGTGGTAAGCGGTCGTCCCCTGCTCTCTGCTCTGCTCTCGAGTCGACTCACTAGCCACATAGAGCCGTCCGTCGCTCAAGGTGCTCAAGGATCGACTCATGAGCAAGAACGTGGTAAGCTGTTGCCCCCTGCCGTCTACTTCGTCCCCATCTGTCACCCCGTCTGTCACCCCGCTGCCATCCTCTTCGCCGTTCGCCCGGTCTGCTTCTGATTCGTTCAGTCAGTCCCATCTCCCTCCCCTCCAGGCGGAGGAGATAGGGAATCGGAGATAGCGGTAATCGTTGTTTGTTTCTTTGTAATCGGTATTTTTGTCTTGTCTTACCTGTCCCACCAGGCGGAGGAGATAGCGGAGAAGCTGTGTCGCTCGGTGGCGTCGAGCCTGGTGGGCAGCAAGCACGCGTCCTTCACTCGCATCTCCTCCACCGTGCAGGTAAGTAAGGGATAGAGAGAGGGGAAGAGAAGGGGGAAGAGGGAGGGAGAGAGGAGGAGGGGGGAGAGGTAGGGGGGAGGGGGAGGGGCAAGAGGGAGGGGGAAGAGAGAGGGGGAAGAGGGAGGGAAGAGAGGGGGGAGCACAAGGAGCCACTCGTCTCTCTCGTCTCGCCCGTCTTGGCCACTCGACCAGCCAGCCATGAAGCGGATTTCGTTTGGGATGGTTGAGCACACTGATCTCTCGCATGGCAATTTGACGATGTTGGGATCTCCGATCTTAAACACGGTCAAGCCTTTATGCAAAAAAAATAATAATAATAAAAAAAAAAACGTTTTGATCATCCCTTCGAAACGGAACCCGCTTCATAACTGGCTCGTTGAGTGGCCGGGAAGGACGGGAAATACGAGAGAGATGAGGAGGTGCATCCTCATTACCAACCCCTCGAGATCCATGTCCCTTACGCCTCTTGTCTTCTCTCCCCACCCTCCCCCAACCTCGCCTGCTGCAGGCGGCCATGGAGGACGCACTCACGCGCATCCTCACTCCCAAACGCTCCATCGACATTCTGCGAGATGTACAGGTGAGTGAGTGATTGCGTGAGTGAGTGAGCGCCTTTTGGTACCCGTAGATGGTTCTCCCATGGAGGTGAATAGGGTGGGCAAATCCACTAACCTGGCAAACACGGCCTTGTGCATTGTCTCAGGTGCATTGTCTCAGGTGCATTGTCTCAGGTGCATTGTCTCAGGTGCATTGTCTCAGGGATACTTACTGTCTCTTGCTCCCTCAGCGTCTCATTCCCACCCACCCTTCCTAGGCTGCCAAGGAGGCAAACCGTCCCTACGTGGTGGTGTTTGTGGGGGTGAACGGGGTGGGCAAGTCAACCAACCTGGCCAAGGTGGCCTACTGGCTGTCACAACCCCTTCGCATTGACTCAGTTCTTTCCCTTCCTCTCTCACTTCCACTCCCCTCAGGCTGCCAAGGAGGCAAACCGTCCCTACGTGGTGGTGTTTGTGGGGGTGAACGGGGTGGGCAAGTCAACCAACCTGGCCAAGGTGGCCTACTGGCTGTCACAACCCCTTCGCATTGACTCAGTTCTTTCCCTTCCTCTCTCACTTCCACTCCCCTCAGGCTGCCAAGGAAGCAAACCGTCCCTACGTGGTGGTGTTTGTGGGGGTGAACGGGGTGGGCAAGTCAACCAACCTGGCCAAGGTGGCCTACTGGTTGTCACAACCCCTTCGCATTGACTCAGTTCTTTCCCTTCCTCTCTCACTTCCACTCCCCTCAGGCTGCCAAGGAAGCAAGCCGTCCCTACGTGGTGGTGTTTGTGGGGGTGAACGGGGTGGGCAAGTCAACCAACCTGGCCAAGGTGGCCTACTGGCTGTCACAACCCCTTCGCATTGACTCAGTTCTTTCCCTTCCTCTCTCACTTCCACTCCCCTCAGGCTGCCAAGGAAGCAAACCGTCCCTACGTGGTGGTGTTTGTGGGGGTGAACGGGGTGGGCAAGTCAACCAACCTGGCCAAGGTGGCCTACTGGCTGTCACAACCCCTTCGCATTGACTCAGTTCTTTCCCTTCCTCTCTCACTTCCACTCCCCTCAGGCTGCCAAGGAAGCAAACCGTCCCTACGTGGTGGTGTTTGTGGGGGTGAACGGGGTGGGCAAGTCAACCAACCTGGCCAAGGTGGCCTACTGGCTGTCACAACCCCTTCGCATTGACTCAGTTCTTTCCCTTCCTCTCTCACTTCCACTCCCCTCAGGCTGCCAAGGAAGCAAACCGTCCCTACGTGGTGGTGTTTGTGGGGGTGAACGGGGTGGGCAAGTCAACCAACCTGGCCAAGGTGGCCTACTGGTTGTCACAACCCCTTCGCATTGACTCAGTTCTTTCCCTTCCTCTCTCACTTCCACTCCCCTCAGGCTGCCAAGGAAGCAAGCCGTCCCTACGTGGTGGTGTTTGTGGGGGTGAACGGGGTGGGCAAGTCAACCAACCTGGCCAAGGTGGCCTACTGGCTGTCACAACCCCTTCGCATTGACTCAGTTCTTTCCCTTCCTCTCTCACTTCCACTCCCCTCAGGCTGCCAAGGAAGCAAACCGTCCCTACGTGGTGGTGTTTGTGGGGGTGAACGGGGTGGGCAAGTCAACCAACCTGGCCAAGGTGGCCTACTGGCTGTCACAACCCCTTCGCATTGACTCAGTTCTTTCCCTTCCTCTCTCACTTCCACTCCCCTCAGGCTGCCAAGGAAGCAAACCGTCCCTACGTGGTGGTGTTTGTGGGGGTGAACGGGGTGGGCAAGTCAACCAACCTGGCCAAGGTGGCCTACTGGCTGTCACAACCCCTTCGCATTGACTCAGTTCTTTCCCTTCCTCTCTCACTTCCACTCCCCTCAGGCTGCCAAGGAGGCAAACCGTCCCTACGTGGTGGTGTTTGTGGGGGTGAACGGGGTGGGCAAGTCAACCAACCTGGCCAAGGTGGCCTACTGGCTGTCACAACCCCTTCGCATTGACTCAGTTCTTTCCCTTCCTCTCTCACTTCCACTCCCCTCAGGCTGCCAAGGAAGCAAACCGTCCCTACGTGGTGGTGTTTGTGGGGGTGAACGGGGTGGGCAAGTCAACCAACCTGGCCAAGGTGGCCTACTGGTTGTCACAACCCCTTCGCATTGACTCAGTTCTTTCCCTTCCTCTCTCACTTCCACTCCCCTCAGGCTGCCAAGGAAGCAAACCGTCCCTACGTGGTGGTGTTTGTGGGGGTGAACGGGGTGGGCAAGTCAACCAACCTGGCCAAGGTGGCCTACTGGCTGTCACAACCCCTTCGCATTGACTCAGTTCTTTCCCTTCCTCTCTCACTTCCACTCCCCTCAGGCTGCCAAGGAAGCAAACCGTCCCTACGTGGTGGTGTTTGTGGGGGTGAACGGGGTGGGCAAGTCAACCAACCTGGCCAAGGTGGCCTACTGGCTGTCACAACCCCTTCGCATTGACTCAGTTCTTTCCCTTCCTCTCTCACTTCCACTCCCCTCAGGCTGCCAAGGAAGCAAACCGTCCCTACGTGGTGGTGTTTGTGGGGGTGAACGGGGTGGGCAAGTCAACCAACCTGGCCAAGGTGGCCTACTGGCTGTCACAGCACGACATCAAGGTCATGGTGGCCGCGTGTGACACCTTCAGGGCGGGAGCTGTGGAACAGCTTCGAACGCACGCCAGGAGGCTGCAGGTGCGTGCGTGCCTCTGTGCTCCCCAGGTGCGTGCCCTAGCGTAGATATGCAAGGTGGCCTACTGGCTGTCGCAGCACGACATCAAGGTCATGGTGGCCGCGTGCGATACCTTCCGCGCTGGGGCTGTGGAACAGCTGAGGACGCACGCCAGGAGGCTGCAGGTGGGTGCGCGTGCTACTGTGCCCTCATCTCAAGTGTATTTTTTTTCAAGAAGGCCCATTTCCCCGCTCAGTGTGACTCTACTGTTCACTCCCCTACCCCTCTCTTCTCCAAATCCCTCTGTTTGAGCGTGGGTGCGAGAAGTACGCGGCGGCGGTGGCAAACAGGGAGGCTCATTCCCGTTCTCCTTGTCTCTCTTCTCTCCTCTCCATCCCGTTTCGCTCTCCTTCCCCCCACCAGATCCCCCTGTTTGAGCGCGGGTACAAGAAAGACCCAGCGGCAGTGGCGAAGGAGGCGATTAGGGAGGCCCATTCCCATTCTCCTCCTCTATTCTGCACCCTCCCCTCCTTCTACTCCCTCTCCCCACCAGATCCCCCTGTTTGAGCGCGGGTACGAGAAGGACCCAGCGGCAGTGGCGAAGGAGGCGATCAGGGAGGCGACGCGCACCAAGATGGATGCAGTGCTGGTTGACACGGCCGGGCGCATGCAGGACAACGAGCCGCTCATGCGAGCGCTCTCCAAGCTAATTAACATCAACGAGCCTGACCTGGTGGGTGGGGATGGGTGCTGGTGTGCGGTGTGTGCGGGTAGTGGGGGTGGGTGCCGGTGTGCGGCGTGTGCGGGTATGGCTAAGATTATCCACACATCGCACCATCACAGGTGGCTAGAATTATCCTGAGTGGACTGCCCGGTTCCGACCATCCGTGTGTATCTGTGCGCTTTGTCGTTGGTGAGTGTTAGCTGCTCTATGGCTGTCGCTCTGGGTTTGCTGTTGCCTTTCTCCTTCTGGACATTCCCAATGGCTGGTTCATATCAACCTGTGTGCATGGTGTGTGCGCATGTAAAATTCCATGTCCTGCGCCTGGGTGAAACAGGTTCTATTTGTGGGGGAGGCACTGGTGGGCAATGATGCGGTGGATCAGCTGACCAAGTTCAACCAGCGCTTGGCTGATCTTTCCTCTGCACCCACTCCCCATGCCATTGACGGCATTTTACTCACCAAGTTTGACACAATTGATGATAAGGTGAGCTCTACAGGGATGAGGTGGATTTTGCTCATTTTCTACCCTTGTGTTTCAACAAAATTGATGCATTTGGCCATGTTTTGGTTCAGCTGAATAACTTACCGTATGAATCTTTTGCTCTTCCTTTTTGTGAGCAGGTTGGTGCTGCCTTGTCCATGGTGTATGTGTCAGGGGCGCCCATAATTTTTGTCGGCTGTGGTCAGTCCTACACTGACTTGCGCCGCCTGAATGTGAAGCACATTATCCGTGCGTTGCTGCAGTAGACAGCAGTAAGATGCACAAATAAGCGGCAGTATCTGTATCAATACTATGGATCAGACCCTTGACTAGATTGATCCACAGTATGCTAGATTGATATGATCTCTGCTTGATATATCTTTGTTACTCATCATATTCTTTTTGATGTGCTATTATTTGTCTGGCTAATGTCCTGCACCTTTCCCTCAATTTTCGGTGCCCTTCGACGCAAGCTCATCTCTTAGCGAATTAAATCTTTTGAGCGCCAAAATTTTGAATTCTGACAAGCAAGTCTCTGACTGACACGGCATTTTCTAGGTCTGACGCGATGCGACCTGGAATTTCCAAGAGCAGAGAGACGAAACACAGCAGGGAGACCAGGAGGAGAAATGAATCTTTCTCCCCAGGTCTCCCTCTGCAATCAAGCACGCTGTTCCCCATAGTCACTGAAACTCCAAGAGTGTCGAAGGAATTCGTTGTTACGTCCTAGGAACAGCAGTTTAGACTGCTGACTAACAGCCCTCTGGCTTGTGATATACGACCGGCATAGCGGGTGAATTCTTAAATTCAAGTTCGGTTGTCGCATAGCTAGGCTGACTGGAGTGAGTTTGGACGTTATGGCGTCCAACAACACTGACAAAGGAGTTAATGTCCAAGTATTATTACGATGCAGGTAACTACTTCGTTGTAGAAGTTTTGGTTAAGCTAATGGTAATTAAATTCGATCGTACTGATCGTCGTCGCCTCCTTGATCAGGCCGCTATCCTCGGACGATGTGCGGCTGAGAGCACAACAGGTGGTCAAATGCAATGAATCTCGCAAGGAAGTCGTGGTCACCCATAATGTCGCGGGGAAGTCAAGTGAAAGGGCGTTCAATTTTGATAGAGTAAGTTTCGTGCAATGAAGGTCGATTGAGTTTCAAAATACAAACCGCGTTCTCTGAGAGTTTAACGCATGTCCTCTGCAGGTATTTGGACCGACGTCGAAGCAGCAGCACCTTTACAAGCTTGCGATCGCACCTATTGTAGAGGAGGTCCTTGAAGGTTTCAACTGTACGATCTTCGCTTACGGCCAGACGGGGACGGGAAAGACCTTTACTATGCAAGGAGACGTAACCAGAGCCGGAGTGAGTGCCGAACGGCGTTCTGAACCTCGATTTGGCCTCTTCCCTTCCGTACTGACAGCGTGTCTGATTTTTTCGCAGGAGAATGGCCAACTTCCGGAAGGAGCAGGAGTTATTCCGCGGTCTATCAAGCATATCTTCGACACCCTTGATAGTCAGGGGGCCGAGTACAACATCAAAGTAACTTATCTGGAACTTTACAACGAAGAGATTACGGACCTTCTGGCTCCAAGCGACATCCTTGTGTCGTCCGAGTCAAAGAAGCCACTCGCCTTGATGGAAGATGGTAAAGGGGGAGTGGTTGTGCGTGGCCTTGAAGAGGAGGTTGTCAACAACTCGTCTGACATTTTCACGCTGTTGGAAAGGGGGTCGGCCAAGAGACGCACAGCAGAGACGATGCTGAACAAGCAATCCAGGTTCGTTTTCATCACCTCCTCATGTTTCCTTGCTATTGTAGTTTTATGACAGCCTGAACGAATCTGTATGTGCTGTGTTTATCTCCTCTCATGTGCAGCCGATCCCACTCCATCTTCACTATAACTATTCACATCAAAGAGTCGACTCCGGAGGGTGTGGAACTGATCAAGTGCGGAAAGTTGAACCTGGTCGACCTTGCTGGTTCGGAGTGCATAGGACGATCCGGCGCCAAAGAAGTGAGTATTGGTACGTGAAGCCTTATGGATGGTTCATTTCAGCAAACTAATTCGTTCATGCTCCTTTCCAGGGACGCGCACGAGAAGCTGGTGAGATCAACAAGAGCCTCCTGACTTTGGGACGAGTAATCACAGCCCTTGTAGACCACACCGGTCACATTCCTTACAGGTAAGATCAGTCAGTGGTGTGACATCAATGATAGATGGATATTAACAATGAGTTGACATTGATTACAACGTGGAATCATGCAGGGACAGCAAACTCACAAGATTGCTTCGTGAGTCTCTTGGAGGCCGGACAAAGACTTGCATTATCGCAACAGTCTCTCCTGTCGCTCCTTGTTTGGAGGAGACCGTGAACACGTTAGAGTATGCTCAGCGTGCTAAGAATATCAAGAACAAGCCAGAGGTGAGCATGGCAAATTATCCACATCTGGTGAACTGAACGCGGCATAAATCTAACATCTGACCAATTGTCCAGGTTAACCAAAGGACGACGAAGTCAAAGCTACTGAAGGACATGGCAGGGGAAGTTGAGAGGCTGAAACAAGGTATGTAACGACTACTGGCATGTCTGCTGTTATCTTCTACTATTCTTCGTGCTCTAACTCGACTTGCGGATCTATGTTTCAGAGTTGAAGGCTCAGCGCGAGAAGGATGGCGTTCATCTGACAGTTCAGCAGCACGAGAACCTGCTGAAGCAGGTGCAGTCCCTCAAGGACCTCACTGGCCAAAACAGTGACGAGCTCGCGCAGAAGGCGGAGGTAAGAATGTTCTCCACATTGAATGCAGATATCTTGGTCTTACAGCAGCACCTAACAATTAGTGCTACCATGTGCAGGAGATTAAGCAACTCAACGAGCAACTGGAGGTGTTTTCAGGCCGAGTGGATGATTTGACAAAAGAGAGGGATGGTCTTCAGGTAACTGAAACCACTCTGTGACTTCATGTGACGTCATCATACAGAGTGATTTTGATCTGTTGAGATTCTTAATTGCTGTGCTTTTTCAGGAACAAGTTGACTCGCTTTCCCAAAGTTTGGAAAAGTCTGAAGCTAATCTCCAAGAAGCAGTATCAACAATTGCAAGCATGGCTCAGGCTGGTAAGTGCTATGTGTTTGGTTGTGATCTTGTATTCGATCAGCCTCCCACTCATTAGTGGGTCAAAGTAACTCAATCTGTTTACCATCTGACTTATAGCTAATATTTCTTGTGTGGCCTTGTACTTGATGGCAGAGACACAGCTGGTTTTCACCTGCAATAGCCTTCGACAAATGCTTGTCAACGTCAATCACGAGAATACTCAACTTTTTGAGAAGATTGGTGAGCTTGGTTCCTGGAACTTCCGTCGTTTCTATCCAGAGTCCATGTTGGTTAGAAAGACTTGTATTGACATTTGCTCTTTGATCAGAGAGAATGCAGGAGACTTCAGTCCACAACCAGGCTGCAGCTACCAGTTTGAAGCAGCAAATGGACAGTCAAGTTGATAGTGTTCGGGCCTTCATAGTAAAGCAGATGGAGGATCTTGCTTTCCAAGAGCAGCAAGCATCACAGGGCCTTGAAGACGTCCTCAGCCAGTCAACTAAGGTATTAACCAGACAGAGTGTCTCTTGATCTTTTTAATCTGCAGCATTTTTGCCTTTAAAGAAATGATCGACTTACTGTCTAATCCATTCAATGCAGGATTTGGGCCAAGTGGCGGAGGAGGTGTCCCAGTTGCAGCAGAAGGTATTGGGTGTGACACGACTCATGAAGGAGCGTGTGCAACAATTTGTGGATAAGAACAACAGTTCCCTCCAGTCCTTGGTGGACGGTCTTGGCCCACAGCAGGAGGAGATGGAGAAGGTTCGTAAATGGTAGTCCCCATTTATTGTCCCAGATACTGTGCACATTTTCCTCATGCAAGGTTACCGTTTCCCTGCAGCTACTTGAAGAAGCCTCTGCCTCATCCAAAGCATCACTTCAGCAAATCCAAAGTTTGCTGATCGGACTCTCAGCTGGGTGGGACGACGTGCAAGGGTGGTGGAATCAGGTGGGCATGGTATTCTTGCGAGGGTTGTAAGCATCCAACTTTCGTTCTCCTAATCCATTGTCGCTTGGATATTGCAGCATTTGGAGAAACGCAGAGCAGAGTCATCCTCTGCCCTGACGTCCTTGGAAACCTTAATTGAACGATTGTATGAAGAGACAACTGCTTGGTCTGAGATGATAGCTCATCACACGGAGAGCCATGAAGAGGATATGAAGAGCCTGGAGAAGGGGGTGATGGTAAGTCGCAAGTGGGGTTCGCATCCGTGTTTGAAGGTGAAAGAAGTATCTCACTGGCCTACGTTTCTGTGATTGCAGGATATTGAAATGCAGAAGGCCAAGAGGATTATAGAGGCAGTGACCGAAATTGTACAGCAAGGGATGAACGACACCGAGGAGGAGGTGTGTGAGCAAATAACGTGATTCATTTTGTCGTTTGAACCAATGTTACCTAATCCGTGTTTGCTTGCCATTTTTAGGTCAAGGTACGGATTGCTCGCATGGCAGCCAGTGTAAAGAAGTTCCGCTCTGCAACTGATGATAAAAGGCGTGCTGTGGAGGGTACTTTCTCTAACATGTCAAGCGTCATTGCCGATTTTCGAGAAAAGGGAGCCACGGCTGACGTTGAGGCTTCAGATGAAGTTGCACGCAAGAAGTCTGAAGCTGGCGAGATGGTGGCTTCGTGGTAGGCATCTTCCTCAGCCTCTTACAACCTCCATCTGTTCCTCTGTTCCTTTTGTTCCCTCCTCTGTACGCTTTGCACCTCTTCACCTTGCTCCTCTCTGCTTTAGTTTCCTGGAGCCATTGTGAATGCATTGAGTTGCACATGCACGTACGCACATGCGGACACAGTTTCCTCATCCTCAACGTCCTCCGTGTTCCCTTATGCAGTGCGGGTTGCGTGGAAAGGATGGATGTAGATGCCGGTGAACAACAGCTACTTCTTGCATCACAGTCCAAATCTTATTGTGACCTCGTGAGAAAGAGCATCAGGTAAGCCAACTGAAAGAAAGGTTTATTTGCATCAGTTTTGCAGTCTGAGGGCCTTTTTCCTCAGAATAAAGTGAATAAATTGGTGCACCTTGGCAGGGAACGCAATCTCGAGGCAACCAGCCTTGGCAACAGTACAACGGCTGACGAGGAGCAGGCTGAGGCAATTTGCAACAAAGGAGCTGACAAGATCGTCTCTATGATTTCAGGTAAACCATAAGCTCATGGCTTCACATTTCCGTCAGATCCACCTTGCATTGTATGAATACTTGTTTTTCATTACGCTTCCCCCCTTGCAGGAAGTCATGGTGCGCAGCAGGGGAAGCTAACGAGTATCGCATCCTCGCTTTCTGAGTCATCTCATTCTGTGCCACTGGCACTGGACCACCACAAGAAGCAAGTTGAGGATGTGAAGGGAGGCATGAAGAGATACCTGGAGGAGGATTTCAAGGTAATTATACCTAGTCAAATTCTTAACTGTTTCTTCAGCTTGGGATTCTGTGGAGTATCATGTTCACATGAGAGTGCTTTCTCAATGCAGCCGGATGCACATACCTCAAGAACGCCACAGAAGCGGCGATATGAGATTCCAACAGAGGAAGACATTTTGAGGATGCGCTATCGACCCACTCAGGCCCATGGGCCTGTGTCAGTGTCTCTTCCCCCAAAAGCAGCGCCTTCACCCAAGCGAGGCGCTCCTTCTCCTGGAAAGCTTAAGGCTGCACTGCAGAAGTCGGGGATCCCTGGGCCTCGCGGTCCTCGGGGACCGCTGCTCACCATTTCCCAGAACTAATACGCATATATATGCTACTGGGATTCGGGAACACATCTACAGGCTTCCAACAACTACGTAACACGGTCTAGGGTGGTACAGTTTGCATATGTAGCTATGGGGTATAAGCTAGGGTGCTAGTAAGAGGGTCTAGGTAAACATTTTTTTTTTGTCATCTCGGCAAAGGATACAGGCTGACATAAGTTACTGAATACTTTGAATTGTGCGGGCAACACATTTACAGATAGCTACAAGCACACGCATACCAGTACACATGGACTGCCCAGCTTGCTATCTCCACCACCAACCCAACGTCCATCCACTGCACGCAATCACGCTTTTCTATCCCATCGCAAGCCAAGCTTACCCAAAGTAAAGTTTCTACTTACTAACACCACGGTCGCCTCAGCCTCCTCCTTCCTCCACCGAAGAACATGTACGTGTCTGGATACAGAGATTCCAAGCTGGCGTCTGCACCCCTGTGAGCCTCAGAATACTGCGACAGATTTACATACTCTTGAGGCCCCTCCTCATCCTCGTAATCATCACTGTCAGAATCCCTGTCATGATGTGCCCTAGCCCTGTGCGCAGTGCTCCCATCCCCCCACGGAGCCCTGCACCAAACACATGTCACCATGCCACCCCTCTTGGCAGCCTTCCAGCGCGAGAAGCAGTCTGAATGAACGTTGTTGCCACAGCGCTGGCAGAACACCACCGCCTCTGCTGGCTTCCCACCCCCACGCTTCCCTACTCCCTCTCCTCCCAGAGGCTCATAACAAATGGGACAGTCCCCTTCGATCGGCCGCTGCTTTGGCCTAAGGTCCGTCTCCCCTACTGCAGCCTGACTGGTGCCTTCACCCCTGGAACCAGAATCAGTGAAGCCCAAAGCACCAGAACCTGAAGCCCCCCCTGCAATGCGTGCAAACTGCTCCCTTACAGCCGGACTTGCTAGAATCTCCTCGCCCTCTGCAGCAGCAGCAAGTGTTCTTCTTTCCAGCGCGTCTATCCTATCCAGAAGCTCGTTCAGCTCGGTAGAAAGCAATGAGCGCTGCCACACGCGCGGGTCCTCCTCGCCCACGCGGAGCACGCGCAGCAGCACAAAGAGCACGTGCTTGCACAGGTTGCCGTTGCCGTAGTCTGGGCACGTGCAGGACGGCTGTTGGGAGATGGTAACCGTGTACACGTTACCCGTTGCGCCCAGCACGTGGAAATTGCAGGAGCACGGGCGGAGCGGGGAGGCGGAGGGAGGGGCGTTGGAGGCGGGGGTGTGGGGGGAGGAGAGAGAAGGAGCGGGGGAACTGGCGAGAGTGGGAGTTGCGGGAGTGGAGGGAGCAGAAATAGCGAGAGCACTTGGTGGTGTACCAAGCGGGGACGAGGGGGACAGAGAGGATTGCGGAGGCGGAAGGTTGTGGGGAAATGGGGTGTGCGGAGGCGGAAGGGCCAAAGCGAGACCAGCATCGCCTGCGCCACCTGCGCCACCCGCGCCAGGCGCAAGAGTTCCCCCGCTCGCGCCCCCGCCGGCTCCCCCCGCGCTACCGGCTCCTCCGCCATTTCCGCGGGCTGCGCGCGGCCAGTCGAAGCCGATTAAGTACAGACGATGTAAGTAGGCGCGTTCAATTCGGTCCAAAACCGCGCGCGACGGATGCGGAAGGAAGCGCGTTAAGCGCTTCTCCACTACTGGCTTCGCCGCTCGGCCGCGCGACCCTCGCGAGGCTCTCACGGCTCGCGAAGGTGAGGGAGTCGAACCAACGGCTGAGATTGCGAGAGATGTTTCCGCCGCTTGGCGCACTTGGCGCTTCCGCCCGTGACTTGCGCCGGTTTCCGCCAAGTCTGTAACAGTTTCCCCCAAGTAGCTTACATCTTCCGCCGCCAAGTCTATTGCGGTTTCCGCCGTTCCGCCAGCGGCTCCGCGCATCCTCCCCGGGCCTGCCGCGGTCGTTCCCCAACGACCTGCTAGTTCTCCCGTTTCCGCCAAGACTATCGCGGTTTGCGGAGAATTACCTCCCGTAAACGCGGGAGTAACCAAGTCTATTGCGGTCGCGCGAGTGTTACCTCTCGCGGTCGAGGTGCTACCAGGTATAGCTCCTTCGGAAGCCGCTTCGGACAGAATGTTGCCATCCGCGTGGGGAGTTAAATCGAACCGCCTCTTTCGCGAACCGCTAGCCATTGGTGGAAAGGTGGTTGCTTGAGAAAGCGGAAAAGAGTGAGTGCGAGAAACCGAGGGAAACACCTGACCAAAGAACCAATGACGAAGTGAGTTCTAACGGAGTGGCTACCAACAAAATGTATAATAACAAAGACCTCAATAACGAAGATAAGAGGGCGCAAACGGAGATTAATCACTATTAATCGCTGCCTTCTGAACGTCTAGACTCCATGAGAGCCTACTCGCTGACGGACTGGGAACCCAAATGCAAGATAGCAAATGTGTGGCGGGGGGAGGGAGCGACCTGACAAGAAAACGCAAAAAGCAGGCTTTGAACCTGACGTGAATCGAACACGCAACCTTCTGATCTGGAGTCAGACGCGCTACCATTGCGCCACAGATCCGTGATGTCGAAGCAAAAATGTTTTTATCATGCTCATAAAAACACTAGCAATTCTGCCTTGGACTTCGCTGTTGACCGTGTAGTCATGGCGGCCATTACCAGCAGCACGAGGGCGTCACTGCCGCCGCTCAGCCACGCCACGCAACAACCGCCATTCGCTCAGCTCGGTCTGGATTCGTCAGTTTCACCCCGCGCTTCGTTCGCGCGGCTGTTACGCTCGAGAGGGTCTCATGATGCGAGATTAGGACCACTACGCCGATTAAGGACCGCCACAGTACCTCCCGTCTTCGCCGTCGCAGAATCGCGAAATCTGGCTCTAAAACCCTCTTCTTCCTCTTCTTCTTCCTCTAGCACTCCTCCCCAGACCGCCGATTCGCGACATTCCGATAATGCCACATCCCTGCTCGCTATTCCCACCTTCGCTACAGTCACAGCCTTGAGCGCTCTTGTCGCCCCTTCAGCCGCCGCTGCGGTTACAGGGGCTGACGTCATCCCGGTAGCAGAGGCAGCAGCAGCGGTGGCCGGGACAGCTGGCGATGGCTCATTGGCGAGTCTGAGTCAGCTGATGCTACTTGGCGCGCTCTCATTGGCTGACGAGCCCTCCAACGCGCTGTCGCTGCCCACGTGGATCATCCACGTGGCAAGCGTGGTCGAGTGGTGAGCGCGAATCGTTCGTAACAAGCGCGGGTCGGGCAGGTGGATGTCAGGAGATTAGCACGGGCAGGCGGATGTCAGGAGATTAGCACGGGCAGGCGGATGTCAGGAGATTAGCACGGGCAGGCGGATGTCAGGAGATTAGCACGGGCAGGAAGGCACCCTCCTTGACGCTATACTGATCGCAAATTATGTTCTTTTTCGCTTTCCGTTTTCCCTCCCCCTCTCTCCTACCTCACATTCCCTCAGGGTGGTGGCGATGGCGCTGCTGTGGCAGTACGGAGCAGCGGAGAGCAGGAGGGCATGGAGGGGAGGGGAGTTGGGGGGTGATGCTGCATTGATCTCACATTCTGCTTTTCTTCCCACCCCCACTGGCACTCACAGGGTGGTGGCCATGGCACTGGTGTGGCAGTACAGAGCAGCGGAGAGCAGGAGGGCTTGGAGGGAGGGAGAGGAGGGGGGCGTTCACGCTTCAGGGCTCCTTTTATCTCTCACTTCCCCTCTTCCAACTCCCCTCTCCCCATACTATCAGGGTGGTGGCCATGGCACTGGTGCGGCAGTACGGGGCAGCGGAGAGCAGGAGGGCATGGAGGGGAGGGGGCTGATGCTTCAAGTGTCTCGTAATTTCAACTCCCGTCTCTTACTCTCCTCCCTCTCACTCTCGTCCCCTCACACATTCCCAGGGTGGTGGCGATGGCGCTGGTGTGGCAGCACGGAGCAGCGGAGAGCAGGAGGGCATGGAGGGAGAGTGGTTGATGCTTCAACCATCCCATGCTCAATCTCCCCTTCCCACCTTTCATCGCCCTCCCTCTAGGGTGGTGGCGATGGCGCTGGTGTGGCAGCACGGAGCAGCGGAGAGCAGGAGGGCATGGAGGGGAGGGGGCTGATGCTTCAAGTGTCTCGTAATTTCAACTCCCGTCTCTTACTCTCCTCCCTCTCACTCTCGTCCCCTCACACATTCCCAGGGTGGTGGCGATGGCGCTGGTGTGGCAGCACGGAGCAGCGGAGAGCAGGAGGGCATGGAGGGAGAGTGGTTGATGCTTCAACCATCCCATGCTCAATCTCCCCTTCCCACCTTTCATCGCCCTCCCTCTAGGGTGGTGGCGATGGCGCTGGTGTGGCAGCACGGAGCAGCGGAGAGCAGGAGGGCATGGAGGGAGAGTGGTTGATGCTTCAACCATCCCACGCTCAATCTCCCCTTCCCACCTTTCATCGCCCTCCCTCTAGGGTGGTGGCGATGGCGCTGGTGTGGCAGTACGGAGCAGCGGAGAGCAGGAGGGCATGGAGGGAGAGTGGTTGATGCTTCAACCATCCCATGCTCAATCTCCCCTTCCCACCTTTCATCGCCCTCCCTCTAGGGTGGTGGCGATGGCGCTGGTGTGGCAGCACGGAGCAGCGGAGAGCAGGAGGGCATGGAGGGAGAGTGGTTGATGCTTCAACCATCCCACGCTCAATCTCCCCTTCCCACCTTTCATCGCCCTCCCTCTAGGGTGGTGGCGATGGCGCTGGTGTGGCAGTACGGAGCAGCGGAAAGCAGGAGGGCATGGAGGGAGAGTGGTTGATGCTTCAACCATCCCATGCTCAATCTCCCCTTCCCACCTTTCATCGCCCTCCCTCTAGGGTGGTGGCGATGGCGCTGGTGTGGCAGCACGGAGCAGCGGAGAGCAGGAGGGCATGGAGGGAGAGTGGTTGATGCTTCAACCATCCCACGCTCAATCTCCCCTTCCCACCTTTCATCGCCCTCCCTCTAGGGTGGTGGCGATGGCGCTGGTGTGGCAGTACGGAGCAGCGGAGAGCAGGAGGGCATGGAGGGGCCTGGCATGGGCCATGGTGCCTCTGCTCATGGGCGCCATGTGTGCATGCACGTGGCACTTCTTCTACAATTCGCCTCAGCTAGAGGTATGAGGCATGCACCAAGGCAGGCAGTTGAGTGTGGCCATGGGACCGGGCATGGAGGGGCCTGGCATGGGCCATGGTGCCGTTGCTCATGGGCGCCATGTGCGCGTGCACGTGGCACTTCTTCTATAATTCTCCGCAGCTAGAGGTACGCTATTCACATTCACACCCCCCCCATGGTGTCTCTGCTTATGGCCGCCATGTGTGCTTGCACGTGGCACTTGTTCTACAATTATCCTCAGCTAGAGGTATGAGGCGAGCAGATGTATGCACCAAGGCAGGCAGCTGAGTGTGGCCGTGGGACCAGGCATGGAGGGGACGGCTTTGGAGGGGATTGCCATGGGCCATGGTGCCGCTGCTCGTGGGCGCCATGTGCGCGTGCACGTGGCATTTCTTCTACAACTCGCCGCAGCTAGAGGTATGAGGCAAGCAGATGTTTACGCCAAGGCAGGCAGTTGTATGTAGCCATGCCATGGGGCTAGCATGGGTCATGGTGTCTCTGCTTATGGCCGCCATGTGTGCGTGCACGTGGCACTTCTTCCACAACTCGCCTCAATTGGAGGTGTGGTGCACATGCATGCTTCATGCCTCATGCTCTCCATCCCTTTGTGCCTCATGCACATGCATGCTTGGTGCCGCTATTTATGGGTGCCATGCGCGCGTGCACGTGGCACTTCTTCTAAAACTTTCAAGCTAGAGGTGAGTTCTGCCATATAAGTCACTTCAACAAGTCATCCTCAACTAACGGTGAGTTGTGCCGTATAAATCACCTCACCAAGTCATCTGCCTGCCTTGCATGGGCCTTGCACAGCCCATCACGGCCCTTCTTGGGAATGGCACTGTCTGTTTCGAAAGGAGAAAGACCACTTGTCAAGTCTTAAAACACTTCCCCGCCTCCCCTATTTGTCCTCCTCTCAAACCGTGGTTGTGCCCCCATCCCAGTCCCTCACGGAACGGCCCTCTTTGGGAACTGCACTGTGTGGTATGATAATAGAAAACTTTCTGGGAGTGTCCTGAATCTTTAACCAATCCTTCCCCTGTCTACCCACTCATGCCATCAGGTTCTCGTGGTGCTGCAGTCCCTCATGACCCTTCTTGGGAACTGCACCGTCTGCTTTGCTGCATTCCGCATTTACAAGGCATCCACCAAGACTGCTCCGTAGGGCGTGTCCAATGTCATGGGTCAAAACGGTTGGAGATGGTTTCTGTGTTGCAGATTATGTACAGCCCAGTGCAATTTGTACCCTGTTGGTTCCCTGTTGGCCACAGCAGTCCACGGAATTAGCTCAGGGGTACCGAATTTCTACCACTCCATTCCAGCAATAGATATTTCAGACAGTTTTTTCGTATCAACGCGAATGAGAAGAAAATAAATAAATACCACTTATCAAACAATTTCTAGACATGCAATGCTGCCTTCATTATTGCCTTGGCACCACAAAAAAGATCGCCACTGTATGCTAGGAGACTGCTGGCTCAAAAATCAAGCGCCCAAGTCATTGGCTATGCACTCGCTAGTAGCAGCTTGCTTAAAAGCACAGCCGTGACTGGAACGGAGATGTTGTCGTCAAGGTATCCGTTAATAGGCAGAGATTCAACTACTGTAGCTCCGAGGTTTATTAGGAACACCCGGAGGAGAGGGTGGGAGGGGATGGGGCAGGAGAAAAAGCCGAGAAAACAGAAGAACCATAAATAGCTGTTGGGTGGGGTAGGGAGTTGGAGAGGAGAGGGGGGAGCGGGGTTGAGAAGGGGGAGAGACGGGGTAAAGGTGAGAATCCGCATGGGAAGAGGGCAAGAAGGAAATTATGCAATTACGGGACGTCCATATGCAGTATGCATGCAGATTTAAGACTGGAAACGAACAAAATCCAAGGCACGTACATCAGAGAGAAATAACAAAAAGATAGAAGGACAAACGAAAACAACAACAAGAAGGATTCGCGACACTTACATAAGTGAGAGGACGAATCCGCAAAACAGCATGGCAGCACTGCCAGCCCAGCTCTTCTGCTCGTTCCATGGAAGCTTCCAGGAACCACACCGCCGCCCCACGATGTCCGCCACCCCTGAATGAGTTAGGGTAAAGGCCTCGGATTAGACTCGGAGAGTTGGGGTAATGCCTCAGATAGGACTAGGGAGGTGCGGATAGATGCAGCACTAGCAGGTATGGCAGAGACGCATCGAAGATATGTCAGAGATGTGTCAGAGATGCGTCAGAGATGCGTCAGAGATGCGTCAGATATGCGTCAGAGACGTGTGAGAGAAGGATCAGAGTAGGAGATCGGAGGATAACGTGGGCCTTCTGACTCGAACCACGCAGATTCACGCCCTTTCTGACTCATGCCGTGCTGGTTCACGCCCATGCTGACTCACCATCTCCACCGCACATGATGACAAGAGCAAGCATTCCCACAGGCGACGTTCTCCAAAACACCACAGTCATGAGCATTATGGTGACTGCGTAACATAAAGGCCCACTTAACAACTCGCTGCATGCAGCACAAGATGAAAAGGAATGGAAAAGGGAAAGGACATTAAGTACGATCACAGTTGATCACAGCCTGGGCGTGGCCAAGTTGCATTCACATAAAACCACTCCAGTGCTGCAACATAGCATGCTCTTTTGTTACACCTCCCACTGTACAAAAAAAAAAGGCGAACTAATGATATTCGCCAATCCCCTCGTGCAGCGCCCAAACCACACTCAGCAGCGCAGCCAGTGCGTCCAAAAGCGCTGGCGCACGAGAAATTTCTCACCCGCGCGCCCTTTCTCCTTGCGCACGAACCCCCGCAACCTCGCAACCTTCGCTCGACCCCTTTTCCCGCTTCCCCTCTTGCGCCCGGACCTAACCCCTTCTCTCTTGCTGCTGCCGCGGCTCACTGATTGGACGCGCGCGCCTTCCCTCTCGCTTCCAACCCTCTCTCCCCCACCTCGCACCTTGCGCCCGATCCCGTGCGATTTTTCGGGCGATTTTTCAGGCGAATTCGAGGCGCAACAGCAAATTGAGCTTTCTCACCTCGCCAGCAGCACCTGTTCTGCCTGGGACATCATTCCAAGCGCCCTCCTCCCCGTTTGTTTCCACTTTCCCCGCGCGTTCTTTCCCCTTTAGTCCAACCCCTTCCCCACCTCTTGCTACCGCTGCTGATGACTCACGAGCTTGATCCTATTGACGCGCGAGAAACCCAGCCCCAGCAGCAAGAGCTGAAAATTTGCTGTGGTTTCTGGCTCATTGGACTACTCGATGCTTTCGCTGCGCTTGATCGCCAGCGTCAGTATCAACCGTTCAACCCAAGGTTCTTACCCTTTGCGACCGCCCCTTCCCTCACCTCTTGCTACCGCTGCGGCTCATAGATTTAACGATGCCGTCGCTGCGCGTCACGCCGAGCCCTAGGAGCAAGAGCTGCACCGCCGTGACCACGGGGGCCGCCGCTGCAAAAAACCGCGCCTGCGGATACGCGCTGGGGGAACGGGGAGGGGAAGGGGGAAGGGGGAAGTGGGGGATGAGAAGCGGAAGAACCTGAAGGCTGTGTGCACTTGAGAAGCGGTACGAAGAAAACGACGAAGCGACCGTAACTGAGGGGCGGTCGTACCTGGTCGTACCTGAGGGGCGGTCGTACCTGGTCGTACCTGAGGGGCGGTCGTATCTGAGGGGCGGTCGTACCTGAAGAGCGGCCAGCAGACGAAGACGAAGAAGAGGCCGATGGTGATGTGCAGGACCTTGCGACTCAGCTTCTGCAAGAGGTGGCGGGGGATGGGCACAAAGGACAAGATACGACCACCCCTCAGTTCTTTCTCCTTCTTCTTCTTTCTTTCTTGTTCTTTTCTCTGGATGAGAGATGAGAGATGCCGCGTGGAATGTCGTCGCAGGAACCGCGCGTAGCCGCCAGGGTTCATCCTCGGCCACAAGGCGGCGCATGTTACTCAACTGCGCGACCGATGGTCGCTAGATGGGGACCAGAGGTGTCGTTTGAGTCGACAGCGCAGACGGCGATGGTGACGTGGCGGATCTTGCGACTCGCTTCTTTAGGCGACGATGGACGACGGGGTCAATGAGTGATGGCGACGATGGTCGATGGGGCCAAAGTAGTAACAGGGACAATGCGGCACAAGGTGAATCCAGCAGAAAAAAACCACGTGAGCACAAAAAAAAAGGTGGGGGAAAGGTAAAGAAGCGTAAAGAATCTCACCCGCTCGACCAAGTTTCGTCGCGCGAGCAAGTCGAAGAGCCGCAGCCATGCGACGACGAGCCCCGTCGTCATTACAGTCGCACACACGTCGCGCGACAGTCCGGGGTATTGCAGCGAGTCGCGCAGACCACGCCAGACGGAGCCATCGGAAAAAAAATCAGCTCCAGGGAAGATTTCGCGCCAGAATGGTCCGTCGGAAAAAGGATAACTTCTCAATAGGAGATCACCTCCCGACTGCATGCCACGTGAGAGCCGACCCGTCAGTAAAAGATTACTATCATTCCCCAAGCCGCCGCTGCCGTTCAGCGCTGTTAGCGGGGATGGTGACAGTTGACGAAGGAGTTGCGGTAAGCTGGCGACCGTGAGATCCCACACTCCCGAAGTCGCATCTATCGCTCCGCCCATCTTGGCTCGCAGATACTCTCTCTTGAGTAAGTCCCCTGCTTCCTCAAACGAGCCGTGCGTTAGATTCGAGTCGGCTGTGTAGCGCTGCGGAAGCGGCGTGCCGCAGAACTGCCAGAGTAAACGCTCCGCGGCTGACGCGCGTTTGCCAAACTGGGCGCAGATTCAGGACTGCACTATTCTTTCTGTAGGCAGTATCAGAGCGCCTGGCATAAGGCGAAGTTGCACGTGTTCGCAGCCACCAAATATCCGACTCTCGCTCTAAATATATACTGTTTCTGTAGATGAACAGGTATCTACCTAAGCTGGAATGCGTTCCGACTTATGAAAATATTGATGTGTTGTCGGTCGAAAAAAGGCAGCTGTTCCCTCCCGTGACTGCCAGCAGCCGAGATGGTGATGCTCCTATCAGGATGTGCTTATATCAATTCTAGCGAATGATATAATCTCACTTGCGGACAGCGACGGCACGTAACAATTTTTGTGTGAGTGGCATCATGAACGTGTTAGGGCGTGATGTCAAGGTATAAATTTCATCGCAAAGCGCCAACCTAGACATCTCCTACGAACAGGTAGGTTTGGGAGTCGTGGCCTGATGTGAGGGCCAGGCCTGGGAGGGAGGGCAATGTGGGGGAATGGAAGGGGGCACCAGCGAACGACGAAGAAGAACGCGCACGAAGAATGGCGGCTGGCAGCACTGTAGCTTTTCGTGACGGTTCGAGATTCGACGAACCGTGAGTCCCTGACCGAGGCCAACGCTGCACGGAGTGAAACACGTGTGCGCCCTTTGGTTTTCGGACTTGCAATTTCTTGAAACAAGTGTCCAACAATTGCTCTTTCTGCCGCCAGTCTCGTTTCGATTGCCCCAGGCTAGGCTGATTCTTCTTCATCCATTTTAAACGTATGGAAGAAAAAGGCTCGGCTGCTGGAATTGTTTGAAGTCCACACCAGTAGCGTACACTTGGGCTGTCCAAAATTCTCCTCCGCCAGGCGGAAAATTACAGGTTGGGGTCCTGCTGGGGTCGGGTGTGTCGCATGGGGTTTGGGGGATGGAGGGGAGAGGGGAGGGGAGGGGTTAGGGGGCAGCCTTAGCGCCTCATCATCTGAGGTGTACAAACGCGAACTGATGCGACACGAGCCGCTTTGAACCAAAGCAACCTGAACGAACGAATCACGGTAGGGCAGTCGGCGGAAAAATCACTAAACCAGACGGTTTTCAATTTTGTGTCAAATCGGTCGACCACTCGTGCTCCACGTCAGCACTATTTCGAATTCCAAAACTCCGATCGACCCTACATAATCTTACGCAGTATAATATAATGTTTATCGATTGGTGTTGAGTGTGTCACCACAGGTACGTAACTTTGTCGAAGTTGGTTTAGGTTATTCCTTTTTAACGTCCCGCATGATTTTGTTTTTGTCGTGGTGCAGGTCTGCAGAGTATTTATGATGGTGTCGAGCAGGTCGGGTTTAGAGATTGCGATTTGGTCCGATTTGGTCCTTCCAGCTTTCTGACCGCGCTACCGACTGAGTCAGCATTCTGACCGCGGGCAAAAAAAATAAACCCATGGCTTACGGCATGCCATTCGGGAGCCTCAACCCTAAAATTTTAGGGTTGAGGCTCCCTCGGATGGCATGCCATCCGAGTGGGTTTTAGTTTTTTTCTTGCCCGCGGTCAGCTTGCTGACTCGATTGCAGTGCAATATATTACCCAAAACGCGACAGACTCTACCACCCACATACCTACGAAATTCGGGAAACCCTAACGCAGAAGTACTACTTGCGTCAGAGTGACCAATTCGTGCCTGAAAGTGTAGAAATTGGGTCGGTCGATCGGAGTTTTGGAATTCGAAATAGTGCTGACGTGGAGCACGAGTGGTCGACCGATTTGACAAAATTGAAAACCGTCTGGTTTAGTGATTTTTCCGCAGTCGGCTCCCAGCACGGCTTGCACATCTACTTCCAAGTCATCCAGCGCCCATATTACTGGTGTTGACAGATCGCGGAAAACTTCGATTGGCTATGAAACCATGGTCTTGAGGTCTGGAGGGGCTGCCAAGCCAAACAAGCTTGGTATGGCTCCCCTCGTGTCGGTGACCCTGGGCAGCTCAACCAGAGGTGCACGTTACAGGGATACAAGTTACCTGAGGCGTGTGCCGCGAAGAACACGGGAACTCATTACAAAGATTCGAAAGTGTCACTTTTACGAATGTGCTCCCAGCGAGTACACAAACCATGTGCAGCCACCTGGCACATCATTTAGGGCTTACGTGGCCAAATGTTCTCATCAACACGGCCACTCTCTCTCCATTCCGCGATGGCGACCTCATCCAGAACGAGCCACCATCGTCCGCGCGACAGTGTATTTCATTTCGCGGGATTCCACACTACCTTTCCCCCATCCCCAGTCCCTCCCTGCGCGCTTTCCCACAGACTTTTCCCCGCGGCTGTCCCCAGCACAGCCATTCATGCGCAACACTCCGATCAAGCCCAGCGGCTTTCCACAAGCTACGCGGAAGGCGGTGCCGCCGAGTTCAGTAAATGAGCTTGAGCTTTTTCACGGTATATTGTGCTTCAGAAAGTTAAACGACGGTTTTGTTCGGTAACCATCTGAACTTCAAACAAGTTTCTAGTGCTGTACGGTATTTGGATTTACCATTGTAGGGCCTTCTCTTTGGCTGACAGCTAGGTTTCTCCTAAACCCTCTCTTGCTCTAGCGTAGAGAGAAGTTCGTGTGTACGGCACTCGTAGTTACGTCTTGACTCTGCCGTCTCACTCTTGCCACCATGGCTGCCGTCACTGCACTGTCAGTCCGAGCAGTTTCTGCGCCCACGCAGGCAAGATTCTCCACACATTCTTCAAGCCGTTACGCAACGCGCCATACTTTCCATTAGCGAAGGATCAAATGCTATTTTTCTTATCGATTCTCACTTGGGCTACTTAGTTCTCGACTTTGATGTAGCCGCTGACAAATTTGTGCAAGAAATGTCCCGTTCCTTGTGGTAAGCTTTTATTTTCCTCCTAACCCTAGTTCTTACCTCCGTCATTTCAGGGAGCGTTGAAATCCAGCTTTCTCTCGGGAGAGGGTTCGTCTCCGTGCCAGCTAGCCACCGGCGGTTTCGCAAAGCGGTCGCTGCTGGCGGCGGCTTCCGCCTCCCCCTCCGCGCGCCTGCACCGCCGCGTGGTCGCCGCCTCCGCCGCCACGCAATCAGCCGCCGCGGCTGTCGCAGCCCCGGTGCGTCTTGGAACGTCTTGGAAATTCCCTCCTGTCGAAGCAGTGTAGATCGACCAGTCGCGCCAAAGGGTTAAGAGTCACGATTTCTGAGTGACTAGAGGGTTTCTTGCTACGCTGTTGAGGTGCCTCAAGAAAGGAAGGGGTTTTGCGATGGTGGGAAGGGAGAAGGTGGTTAAAGGGTCGGAGAGGGGGATGGTTGTTGGAGGGGTTCGTGGTCGGAGGTGTTGTGTTCACGTTGTGTGAGCAGTTGACGCAAGGGACGAGAGTCGTTGTGTCAGAAGTTAGCGTCAAAGGACGGGATTCGTTGTGTGCTGGACATTGTAGGATTTGTGTGACGGGGCTCGGCTGGAATAAGATCGTGAGACGGGACTCGTTTGGTCCAATGGGAAGGGACTCGTTACGCGCTGGGCTTGTGAGAGCTTGCTTGGCTGTAGTCTACGCTCGACGGTTTGGAGCAGGAAGCGGGAAGCGGCGAGGAGTAATCGCGGTGGAAGTTTCCTTAAGCGATTTTTGTCAGATAATGGACACCCTTCGTCCTGTCGTGACAGAGAGTTAGCTGAACGTTGTAGGTGTAGTTCTGAGAGACACGGGGGTGCAGAGGGATGTGGATGGCAGGCCAAGGGGTTTAGACGGATGGGAACAAGACGGTGGCGGACAGACGCGGGAGGACAGGCGAAGGGGGACAGACGGAGGGGGACAGGCGAAGGGGGACAGACGGAGGGGGACAGGCGAAGGGGGACAGACGGAGGGGGACAGGCAGATGGGAAGAAGATGAGGTGTATAGATGGAAGGGGACTGACGTAAGGGGACAGGCGGTTGGAACAATACGGAGATGGACAGACGGAGGGTACAAATGAAGGGGAACAGACGGATGGGATTGAGATGGTGGACAGACGGAGGGGAGCAGACAGAGGGGAAAAGACGGAGGGGGACAGACGGGGGTGGACAGACAGAAGTGGACACACTGAGGTGAACTGACGGATATTTTGCATGGGGAAGGAGATACGCTAAATCCTGGCGTGTTAGTCGTCTAGAGTACAAACGAAACAGCTTCCTCCTGTGCTGTCCGTCCAGTCATTACTCACCAGCCCTTATGTTTCCCCTGCACACTTCCCGATGCGTTATTTTGAATCCCCGCTTCATGCCTGGATCATGGTTACCAGCAGGTGTTTCCTAGAACCCTCAATATACGTCGACAACAATGTTAGGCAGCTTCTCACACACATCCGTTGCACCCTCTCCCCGCCTGCTTCTCACCTCTCCCTCTCCTGATACCATTTCCTCATACTCATACAGGCCGTCCAGAAGCAGCGAATCCGCATCAAGCTCAAGTCGTACCAGGTGCCTCAACTGGAGGCAGCATCCCAGCAGATTCTTGACGTGGCGAAGGAGACGGGAGCAGGCATCATGGGCCCGGTGCGCCTGCCAACGCACATCCGCAAGTACTGTGTGCTGCGCAGCCCTCACGTGGACAAGGACTCGCGGGAGCACTTTGAGATCCGCACACACAAGAGGTTGATTGATCTGGAGAACCCGACCGCGACCACCATTGATGCTCTCATGCAGCTCGAGCTGCCGTACGGTGTGGAGGTTGATGTGAAGCTGTCGTAAAATTGTGCAAGTTGTGACGAAGCTTGTAAGAAGGCATGTTGTAGGATGTTTAGCACCGCTGGTGTAAAGCAAGTCTGTTCTCACTGTGACATGCTCACTCCACTACATAACACATTTGAACCTGTGGAGAAGCTGCTACAGAATGGTATATGAATGAACGTCTATTTTTTATAACCAGCCACGTCTGTAAGTGTATTGAGCATAAGTCCATGTAACAATCTCAAATTCTCCCACTCCTTTCTCAGCCCACACGGATATCTCCCAACCTAGCTCTCAGTGCTTCCACTCATACGGTAGCTTGTACCCGAATCGGTGGTGGTGGGCGATGAGCCCAACGCTAGGCATCCTGGGATTCCCGCTTCGATCATAACCGCGCCGCACCTCTCCGCGATCCGAGTGGCAACCCTTTTCGCGACTTTTATCCACTTGCGAGATCGTCAGCGCCCTCGTTGGCGAATCAGAACGCGAGTTTGAGTACATCCACGTCAGAGCGATGAGTACTGTGCGACTCTCTGATCACCTGTCTGATCCGTTGATGGGTCAAGCGAAGTCCTGGTTCCAAGCACCGAGTTTCTCGGGTACCTAGGAGTTATCGTGGGCTCTCAGAATTGATCTGCCAGGAAACTTTCCCGCTGTGGATTCTTCAGGCGTCTGCTCCATGAAATGATTCCGCTGCAGCTTTCTGCCAAATTGGCCTTGGCACCAAGGCACACTCATTAAGAAAAACTAATTCCTCGCCTAAGCGGCAATATTAGTCGTAGTCTATCCCCATCAAGACTACTACGAGCCCATATCATGGCAAGTTCTGTTGCGCACTGTCATCTGACAGGCATTAATAGCTTTCAGTCCAAGGTCTCGTCAGCAGCCGATTCCTCTTACAGCTTAGCATGGCCTCGGTCACGCTGTCATCCGTGCGCTTACAGAACACAACTGAAACATCTGACTTCGAAACGAAGCTCTGTTACAGCCTCTTTTGAAGTCCCAACAGCAACAGCAGCAGCCGAATCCGCGATAAGTGCTGCTCCAAAGCTTGTTACAAGTCTTGGAAGATCTGCACTTGAGTCGCTTCAGGCACCATCGTCGTTCTTCGAGCTGCAGCCGTCGACTTTTCACCCTTTACTGACCGATGTTGGAACTAGCGTTTCGTCTGGAAACGCTGGAATTGTCGCTCTAGCTTCTGGCTTACTGCCGTTAGCAGCTTCATGGCAGCAGGACGTGGCTGCAACGCTTTTCACCCTCCTAGGCTCGGTGGTATGGGTCCGCGTGTTTGATGAGCTGGCCAGACGGAATGTCCTGGATCAGGTGAAAAAAAGTTGCATATATATTTTGCTGCGCTGTTGTTCATCTAAATTTTCATGAACCTTCTGCTACCTCAAATTCATCCTGTTCCTCCTTCCATGGTTGTTCTTCCACTGTTGATGGACGCTTGTTCTCTTTGTTGCTATTTCTGCTGCAGAAACTGAGTCGCAAGATTGTGCACATCACCACAGGGCTGCTATTCATGCTCTCTTGGCCTCTCTTCAGGTGAGGGCTTCCAAAAAACACAATGTAAAGCAATGTGACCTTACACTTCCAAGTTGTTTTCTTTCATTGACTTCTGTACATCTTGCAGCTCCGATAGAGATCAAGCGTCCATCAAGCGATAGAGTTCAGGCTGGTCCCAACAATCCCAAGCTCCTCCTGTCCTGTGCTTCGCGCCTGCTTGTGTTCAGCTCCAACCCAGCAGCAAGGTTCCTCGCTGTTGCCGTGCCAGTGGCGAATGCCGTCCGGATACTGCTGCTGGGCACAGGCATCACGAAGAACGAGGGAGTGGTGAAGTCCATCAGCAGAGAAGGCAGTGCCAGGTGAGGCAATGAGGCAGTTCGTGGTGAGGCTTTGAGTAGATTCACGCTCCAGCCACACATGCTACAAACGTTTCCTTTCCTGTTTTTTGGGAGTATTTTGCAGGGCTATGAACTACCTTTCCATTTACCATAGCTCCATACCTTCAAAAAGGTTCAGAGTCGTCAGTTCTGTTGCCTTTCCTCAACTGTTGCATGCTCTTCCAACTGTCTCCAGCGAGCTGCTTCGGGGACCTCTGTACTATGTGCTCACCATCGTTTTAGTCACAACAATCTTTTGGCGCAGCTCCCCCGTTGGAGGAATAGCGCTGGTGCTCATGTGTGCTGGGGATGGTACGTATGTCATAACCTCATGACTTATTATGTGTGGCTCTCAGGGCGCTGATGAAACGTCTGGTCTCGTTTTCCTTAAGAATCTTCTTCTGAAAAAGGAAAATTTTCACACGGACAACCTTTGATCATTCTCGTTGGCGTATTTCTCGTATTTTTTATGCAGGAATGGCTGACATAGTTGGTAGACGAGTGGGTTCCGCGAAGCTTCCCTGGAACAGTCGCAAGAGCTGGGCTGGGAGCGTTGCCATGTTGCTCTGCGGTTCTCTCTTCTCTATAGCGTAAGCAGCTTCTCTTCAAACTTTTGTTCGACCAGAAAACCACTTTCTGTTGCTTCGTTCTGCGAAGGTCAAGGCGCTGGAGAGAGCACTGCCTTTTATCTGAGTATAACTATCTTCTGTTATCCCTTCCCGCCTCCAATGCAGGTTTCTCTATGTATTTTGCTCTTTTGGGTTCTTCCACACCCAGTGGTGGTCTGCCGATATCTGCTTCAGGATCTTCCTGATAGCTGCTGGAGCAACATTCATGGAATCGTGTCCCATAAGCGAGAAGCTAGATGACAATTTTACAGTCCCGTTCTCAGCTGTGCTGCTGGGACGCTTTCTTCTTCCAATGGTGTAGTTCCATTCTATGTGCTGCTCCCTTGTCTGTTACATTTTCCCCTACTAATCTAATTTTCACTTCTCAATCGCATTTCAGACGTTTTTTTTGTTGTCAAGGAAATGGCATGCATACGGTCACTATTTACAGGGCCTGCAAACAAACATTCAACATCATCATCTACACCTTCCTTCTCTCACCCTTCTTCCTCCTTTCACCCCTCAACAACACTTGATCCACCTACCATCAACAACTGCAACCCCCATGGACTCTACACCTAGAAACCGTCAGAACCCGCCCCTATGATCCATCAGCCATCCTTCCTATTGTTTACACCTCCAGCCTTGACACATCTTCCTCAGCCCCTCCTACGTCCTCTCTCAAGCCATCCACCTCCTCCAGGTTTAACCATCATACAGCCAAGCGTCCAAGTGAAATAGAGCCTCCGTGCAGCCGAGCCTCCATGCAGTCGAGCCTCCATGCAGTCGAGCTTCCATGCAGTCGAGCCTCCATGCAGTCGAGCCTCCATGCAGCCGAGCCTTCATGCAACTGAGCCTCTATCCATCTCAGACTTCACACAGCCAAGACACGCATCTGCCTCTCCAATGCTTTAGCCATGTCCTCCCGCGCCCCTTGCAGCTCCCCTCTTGCTTCTTCCACCAGCCGAGCGCTCTCCTCCACGCTCATTGGCTCATCCAGCTCCTCTTCCCCCCATCCAGTCTCACACCCAGTCGCAGTCACATCCAACCCAGCCCCACCTGATTCACCCACATGCCATGCTTCTCCCACTGGTTCAGCGATATGTTCTCCTTGAACCACACCCCCACCCTTAACTACATCCCCTTCCCGAACCACACCACCTTCCCCCTCTTCGGATCTGCTGCATCGGCTCAGCCCAGCCCAGCCCCTCTCTGCTTCTTGCCCGGACTGTCCTGTCTCCCCTGACACGCTTTCTCCTGGCACCTCAGATGCCACTGTTTCTGGCGGCATGTCAGACCCTCTCTGTCCAGGAATCTTGGCGGAAGCAGTTTCAGATGGCTCACCTTCACCCTCCCCAGCAGGCATTACCTCAGCTCCCTCCGCCCCTTCTTCTCCATGACTTTGAGCTTGTGGAGGCTGCTTTTCTTTCTCTTGCGTCTCCTGCCGCCAAACTTGCTCCTGCTGCTTCTGCTCCTCCCGCTTCCCCTCCTCCCGCTCCTTCCACCCTGCCTGCTCCTCCCGCTGCCCCTCCTCTGCCTCCTCCAGCTTCTCCCTCTTCCCCTCTTGCCCCGTGCTTGCCGCGCCCTTACCTTCTAACCCCAGCATCCGCACCACCGTCGAGGGTAGCATAGCTGCAACCATGGTGCCAAGTGTTGGCGCCTCGTCTGCCAGTTCCTCTCTCGCTGCCTCTGGAACCTCAGCCACCGCTCCCTCTTCTGGAGCAAAAGCAGCTGGCGCATCTTCCTCCTCTGCAGCAGCAGCATTAGCAGCTATCTCTCCCTCCTCAGCAGCAGCACCACCACCATCACGATCACCCAGGGCCTCTCCCTCCTCCGCAACAGCAGCAGAAATACCATCAAGTGTCTCTTGCTCCTCCGCAATAGCAGCACCGATTCCATCAAGCACCTCTCCCTCCTCCTCAACAGCAGCAGCAATACCATCAAGCACCTCTCCCTCCTCCGCAATAGCAGCAGCAATACCAGCTGCGGCAGGTACATGTCCCTCCACAACACCAGCTTCCTGTGCCGTCCCAGCCTCATCCTGCTCTCCCTCCTCGTCCCTCTCCCTATCGCCTTCCACAATCGCTCTAAGAGCCGCCCCCCTCCCCTCCCCAGCTGCCAGCTCGCCAGAATACTCACCTGTTTTCTGGTCCTGGACCCTGCTTTTCAACTCCTTTTTCCGCTTCCCTTCCCGCTTCCCTTTCTGCTCCCTTTTCTGCTCCCTGTTCTTCTTCTCCTTGCAGTTCCCTTCCAATCCGTTCCCTCTCCACCTCTTCCTCCATCACCCCTTCCTCTCCTTCCCCCATCATCCGTGCCCCCAGCATTCCTCCTTTCGACCCCACCAACTCGGCCTGCTCTCCCCATCCTGCGCTCTCCTCTTCCTTTCCCTGTTCCTTCGCCACCTCGTCCCCTGCTACCCCCTCGTCCCCTTCCTCAATCATCTCCTGCACCTCGCTCAGTTGCGTCATTCTTGCACCAGTCGGTGACAGTATTTTAGGCTCCTCCGATGTAGAACCATCCGCCACCTCCCCTGCTACCCCTTCATGCCCTTCTCCAATCATCTCCTCCACCTCGCTCAGCTGCTTTCTCCTTGCACCACGCGGCGACCCCTCCTGTGACTGGCTGCTCCATTCACTTGCTGCGCTCTCCTCCCTCCTCACACCGTGTGTACCACCCATTGCGCCACCCATGCCACCCAAGCCACTAAGAGCACCCATACCACCTGGAGTCCTTATGCCCGGGCTGCTGGTTCCGTCGGCACCCTTGCCTCCTGCTGCCATGCTTGCAGCAGCACGTGCGCCTGCTGCTGCCATCACAGCATGAACCATGGAAACACGCTCCTTGTCACCCCCACTGCCACCACCACCACCACCAGCACCTGCTTCTGCCATCACAGCATGCTGCCCCTTCTCACCACCAGTGCAAGTCGCAGCAGCATACTCACCACCAGCCTTGGCACCAGCGAAATCACCAGCCACTCCTCTAGGTTCACCACTGGGCATAGCACCAGCAGCACCAGCACCACCAGCATCAGGCGCAGGTGTGTTGTCTCCACCTCCTTTCATTCCCTTGTCAACACCTTTGGCTGCAACTTTTCCTGCTGCAGCCCTTGCTACGGCTACAGCCTGGGCTCCTGCTACAGCCTGTGCTCCTGCTACAGCCACCACTGCTAGAGCCACAGCAAACCTCTGCCTCTCTGTTTCCCGTTCACTGTCAGTGGTAGTACGCCGTGATGACTCAACAGTGCCAGCACCAAATCCTCCTGACTCAGCAGCAGCAACATCGGGACCTGACGACTCAGCAGTAGCAGCAACAACCGACGGCTTAGCTGGTTCAGCAGCTGCTGCAGCAGTGGAGAGCACATCCGTTGCAGGTTTCGCTGCTGCTGGAGCTGGTGGCTCAGAAAGAAGCTGTTCGGAAGGGACAGGCTCTGAAAGAGGCTCGGAAGATGCTGGCTGGGCCCCAAGCTCGGAAGGTTCTGGCTCGGCCCCAAGCTCGGAAGAAACTGGTTGGTCTGTGGACGTGGGTGGGATGGAAGATGGGGGTGCAGTCTCCTTTGCTGCCTCTGGTGACTGTAGGGGACGAGCTGAGAGAACACCAGTGGCAGGAGGAGCAGCAGCAGGAGTAGCTGCGCCAGGTACAGTGGCAACAGGCAGCTCGGTTGAACTGAGTGGGGGGGACGTAGCGGGTGCAGCCTCCTCTGCTTCCTCTGTTGATTGTGGGGGCCGTGCTGCTGAGGGGACACTTGGAGTAGTATTTGCAGCAGGAGCAGAAGCAGCAGCAACATGTCGCGCAGTTGAGCTGGGTGGGAGCGGAAGCAGTTCCCCAGCTGCTAGCTCTGCTGGTGATGAAGGGCGTGCTTCAACAGGGGGAGCCACAATGGGAGAGAGTGGGAGCGCAGCAGCATCGGGGGGCTGAGATGAAAGTTCTGATGCTGAAGCCTCCTCGTGAGGCAACTGCCACAGACCAGGTGGCGTTCCAGCCTCAGGTAACGCTTCAGGTGATTCTTCAGGTGCCGCCTCAGGCTTCTCCCTCGTTAGCACATGCTTCTCCCCGGTTACTACAGGCCCTTCCCCTATTACTGCAGGCCCCTCCTCAATTACCACAGGCCCCTCCCGAGCTACTATACGCTCCTCCCCTTCTACCAAAGGCCCCTCCCTGGTTACTGCATGCCCCTCCTCGGTTACCAGAGGCCTCCCCCCGGTTACCACAGGCCCCTCCTTCCCCTGCAATCCCTCTGCTACAGCCTCTGAAATGGCTTCCTGCACGGCCACCCTCAGATTCTCCTGCTCTGCAACATCCAACGGCCCATAGAACGACACCGGGGCATCATAGAACACCTCGTCCGACCCCTCACTCTCACTCCCCTCCCTCGCCCTCCCCCTTTCCACCCCTCCCACACCTTCGATCCACTCTCCTGTCTCTGCAGGCCCCACACCCTTCCCACCTTTCATTGCCTCTCCTGTCTCTCGTCCCTCCACACCTCCTGCTCCCTCCAGATCCTTAATCCTTGGCATTGTTTCCGCCGTTCCCAAATCTGCCTTTCCCATTTCTGTCGTTCCCGTTTCTGTCATATTTGGCGCTTCTCCCTCCTTATCCTCCACCTCCACCAAAGCCTCTGCAGCCTCCTCCGCCTCTTCCTCACTCGCCCCCTTCAGTATAAGCTCCTCTGCTACTGCCCTCAGCCGTGCCACGTCACCTCCTTCTCCTGCCACGTCACCAGTCATTCCCGCTTGCACTCCCGCACTCGACAGTGCAGATGCATCCAGATTCTCCACATCAGCAGGAGACGGAGGGGGCGTGGCAGGGAGCGGAGGGGTAGGCGGGACGCGCTTTTCCAAGGCTTCAGGAGCACTTTTCGCTGCTGTTTTGTGTGCGGTAGGGAGGCTAGGCGCACTGCGTGCTCTGGTGAGCCATGACGGTGGTGTCACTGCTGCTGCTGTTGCTGCTCCTCTAAAGCCTTCACCAACGCTCATTCGTGTTCCTGGTGCTGGTTCGTCCACTCCTTCATACCTTTTGCCTGCTCTCTCCCCTCCTCCTTTTGCCCTTCCCACCGGCCCCAAGCTTTTCACCTTGGGAACAGGTGGCTTGGCCGCGGCTCCTGCTGCGGCTGCAGCTGCTGCCTCTGCTGCTGCTTCTCTCTCCTCCTCCTCAGCTATTCTCGCTGCATCAGCAGCTGCTGCTTCCATTGCCGCTGCCTCCCCAGGAGTGAGTGGGCGAGAGGAGGGAGGAGGGGACGGGCTGGCACGTGCCACGTGGACTATCTGTGCTGCTGGTGAGGCCTCCCTCACTCCTTGAGCCCTCGTCTTGCCCTCTCGCTCCCTCGCTCCTATATCCCCCCTCTCCCTGTCTACCCTGCTCTCGCCTTCTCCCCCCATTTCGCCTGCTACCCTACTCTCCCACTCTCCCCTCGTTTCTCCTGCCACCGCCCTCTCTCCAACTTCCCCCATTCGTTCTGTCATTTCACTCTCTCCTCCTTCCCCCATTTCTCCTACCACACCCCTATCGCCCTCTCCCCACAGTCCTCCTTCCACCCCCCTCTCTCCCCCACTCTCCCTTTGGAACCGGCTAGCCTCAGGGGGGGAGCGAGGGGTGAGCATGGGGCTACCGCCACTGCTGGATGGTGTGTGCATGCCGCTGAGGTCGAGCTGGAATAGAGGAGAGAGAAGAGAGGAGAGGAGCACAAATACGGAAGGTGAGATTGAAGGGGGGCAAGGGGCGCGCATGGGAATGTGGTAAGTGGAGGCGGAAGACAGAGCAGAGAGAGAGAAAGAGGGAAGACCAAGGAAATCGAAACAGACACATGTTGAAGGGAGTGCATACAGAGGACTAGCGCCGCTAAAACCCACCTGTTTGAGCAACAATTATACTGCCATTTCGAATTTCTAAACACATTTAATCCCATCATATACCTTGCGGCTTCTACCAGGCCGGCGGTGTGGGTGCAGCGCCCCTTTCACCCTCTCCCTCATCCTCCTCACAAATCCTCCTCTCGGGCTTCTTGTCCCTTGCGCCAAGCCCTCCTCCTCCTCCCTCCTACCCGTACCTTGCAGGCTCCTACTGCCTCCGGACTCCGCCCATCTGCCTTCCTCCTTGCCCTCCTCTTTGTCCTCCTCTCTCCTCTCCTCCTCTTCCCCCACTCCAGCAGTCAAGCCGCGTTCTCTTGAGCGTTCTTCCAGCCCCCCAACCCTCTTTTCCCTCACTTCCACGCCCACCCTACCCACACCGGTCGCTTCAGCAGGCCTTGCTGCTTCTGGTGCAGTTTCTTTCCCCTTCTGCTGCTGCTGCTGCTGCTGCTGCTGCAGTTCCGTCTGTGCCTGCTGCGGTCTCTCTCCTTCTGCTGCCTCCACGTGGACCTGCCTGATTGGCTCCTGCCGTTGCTGCCGGGGGCTGCGATGCATCTTCTCTTCCACCTTTTCCAGGAAGCTCCTCACATGCCCAAACGGCCCTCGCCTCGCCTTTCTCCCACCCTTCATGCCAACCCCCACAACCTCTCCTCCTATCCCGCCCTCTGCAGGTCCCCTCCCACTTTTCACACCGCCCATCACTCCCTCACCACTTCTCCCTCCTGTGACAGGCCCTTGGTCCGGTCGCTGAGCGGTCTGGGCAGCAGCAGTAGCAGCAGGTGCTTCAAAAGAAGGGTCCGAAAGATCCTGTTCGGTGGTGAAGACTGTGTGTTCGCCACTGGGCTTGGGAGGAATCCAAGATGTAAGCGCTCTGCAGCGGCGGTATCACCATGGTGCTTCACGTCTTGAGATGCTGATAGAGGGTCCACGGATGAATGCTCCTCCTCCTGCTTTGCCACCTCCATTATGCTTTCGTCTGCACAGAGAACGGAGGGTAAGTAAAATTTCATGGGAAATTCTTTCCCCAGCAGGGACTTCACATGGCACTCACTAAGGATATTGAGTCTCTAAGAATACTATTGTCTGGAGCATCTTAATATTTTACTCACCATTTATTGCAGGTGGAGGGCGCATGAGCTTCCTGTTGCGGTCATCCACTGACGGATCCATCCAATCAGGACACGTGGACATTGTGCCGGGCAGCAGAAGGAAGACTCGGACTTAAGTAATATGGACAGACGCGGCGTCAGCACGGCTTCAGCAGATATGATTGTCAGTCACCTGTTACATGTGCTAGTTCAAGTCTGGTTGTCGGCAGATCTACGTGCGCGAGATCTGACTGATGGTTATCGTGGCGAAGAAATTTAACGCGAATGCTTCTTGTCTCGTGCGAGTCGAACGAGGAAGGGAAAGAGGAGTAGGAGAGGGGCGTGGGGTGCAAAGAAAGGCCGTGTTGGGGGAAAAGACAGAGGAAGTGGGACAGGAAGGGAAGTGGCAAAGAAAGGGCAAAATTGGGGGGCGGAATTTGGCTAAATGAGCGAAGTTCTCGCGTCGCACATTTGAGCGCGATTCGCATTTGCATGGTTTGTTCATGCGTGAGCGCAAACCTCGGAAGGTGACGCGTGGCGAGCCGTCACTGGCAGCATGTCTCGACATTCGAGAAAAAGCCAGGCATTCCGCATCATTTTATAGCAACGAGAAATGGGCATGTTGCAGAGAGGACAGTATCCAAATCGAGCTAGCCTATGAGCGTACGAAATGGGAGTGCTATTTCTTGAAATTACTTCTATTCAGCCAGCCTGTCGCCAGCTTTTCTTCACGTCCGTACTACTCGACGCCAGATCAGCACGTGCTCGCAAGCGCAAGCACTACGTGGCAGCTCATCCCTCCGGCGGCCCGCTTTTGCAGCTGAGTCAGTTTCGCGCCGCTCCGCGCGTCGATATCTCGCTCAGCATTGAGATGCCTAGTCTACGCAATCGCCTCCGCGAATCTTTCCGCGTATTCCCCGTGTGGCGCCGTTAACCTGCGCGCACAGTACTCCGCGAGTCTTCCCCTTCACGTTCTTCCACTGTTGTGTCGTTCGCTAGTAACGCCCTCGTGCTCCGTTCGCTGCTGGCCAAATGTCACAGGGTTATCGCTGTCGTTAGGCGGACGGATGGCGGCTTCGTCGAGTTTACAAACGTTACCAGGTTACCAGGTCTGATAGCGGTTGCGCATTTCGTGCTCACACGTTGTTCTCTCACAAGTCCTTAAACATCAGGCTTTGAATCCTCTCTTTATGACTCGACTTTCGATTTAGCCAGTTTCGTTACTGGTTTGCGTCATGTCGTGGAGCATCATTAGAGACTTGCCGTTTAGCCTCCTGTCCATTGGCAAAGGGAGCGGAGATGCTAATAGCGAGACTGGAGAAGCCCCTGTAGCCATTGATTTAAGCGCTGTGAACTTAGCGAATGAAGTTGTTGCAAAAGTTGCTGCTCAGGAAATTTCGTCGCCAGGTTCTGCTGACGTAACGGCAGCAGCAGAGTCGAGTTGTCGTCCGGCAGGAGGGATTGAGTCGACGGAGGTTCGTGATAAGTTGACTGTCGGTGGTGAAAACCCGGCGGATTTGACCAGTGGCAGCAGGACACGTGGCGAGGAGGGGGAAAGGAGAGCGGGAGGGTGGGAGAGGCTTGATGAGGGCGCTGAGGGTGAAGGGTTGGGGGAGGGCGGAAAGGTGGGAGAAGGGGGAGATTTAACTGTGATTCAGTCAATCAGAGACGGGTCTGGGGAGGAAGAGTCAGAAGTGCGGGCAGGTAAACGGGCAGGTGAGCAGGCAGAAGAAACCGTAAAAGTGCTGGAAGCAAGTATTGATGACGAAATGAGCGCAGCAGCAGCAGCAGCAGCAGCGGCAGCAGCATTGGGAAGCCTCTGTTGCACGAGCAGTGTTGAAGACAAGCAGACATGCGCTGGGAACAGGGAGGATGGGGCAGCAGCGTTGGGCAGCGCCGGTTGCTTGATCGGTGCTGGTGTTGAAGAACAGCAAATAAGTGCTGCAGAGGAGACGGGTGCAGCATTGGCAGCAGCAGCAGTATTGGAAAGTGTTGGTTGCACGAGCAATGTTGCAGACGAGCAGCAAACAAGTTGTGGGGTCGGGGCAGGCCTGTCAGGGCGACAAGCAGCTGAGATGGTGCGTGAGGGTCTCGTATACACAGCTATTGGTTGTGTGCCTCAGCTTCCCAGTGTCCTTTTCTGCTTCCGCGTGGTGTCTTTCCTGTTGGCTTTCCAACTTTTCCAGGTCCCCTGTCCCCTCCCCCATCCCAATTCCTCCTCCATTTCCCCCCCATCCGTCGCCCTCCCATCCCCCGTCCACACTCCTCCCTCCCACCAATCAGAAGTTTCCCCACAGCCTCAGCTCGCCCAGTTTTGGCAGCGGCAGGACATTTCATCATGCTGACGTCACCAACAGCTCAGAACACCCTCCACGTCATCAGCACACGTGTCCTGAGTCACACATCTACCGTAGTTCCTTCCAGTCCACGTCAGCAAGCAACCCATCATCTCCCAGACCTGACAACCAGGTTCGGAAGAGAGAAGAAGGTTCAGTGGCACCAGTGGAGATAGAATCACGCTCGATAGAGTCACATTTAGTAGAATCACACTCGATGGAATCACATTTCTACTCGGAAGGTGAT